CTAGAAGCTAAAACAAAGGGTCAGGCTTTAATCGCCGGTAATAGAAATCATGTTGTGTTAGCTCAGTGAACAGCTGTCAGTATTGTGTACAGGGCAAGTATTAAAAACAACTTTAAAGGTCTCATGTTGTATAAAGTGAGATTTCCATGTCTTTTTGGATTTAAAGCACCTCTAAGTTCTATATCACAGCTCCATCTTTTCCTCGTCTCCTGTGTTTTATTTGAAGTGTTGATCCATAAGAAGAAAGACTCGTGGTTTTAAGAACCAAAAATCATCTCAGTGTAGTTTTACATCTCTCTCAGGCTTCTCTCTTGAGTTCTAGTAACAAGGAGGAGGCTCTGAGCCTCTCCTCTGATTGGCTGACTGTATTATGAGTGATCCAATAAAATATAGCAGATTTCAGGTAAACATTCAGAGAAACCAAATCCTGCAAAGTTGGATGGCGCGTCCAGGTGGGCGGGGCTTGGGACATGGCTGAGGGCAGTGACTGCTTTGTTGTGACGTCACAAAGTTCAAGAAGTCCTGACGGCTGGTTTTAAGGCTCAGTTTCTGGATACAGACTGTGTGCATTTGCCTCTGTAACTTTCTGATGTCACAACAGTCACCACTCTCAGCCACGCCACAAGGCCTGCCCAACTGGACCCACCATCCAACCTTGCAGGATTTGGTTTCTTTGCATGAAATCTGCCACATCTTTATTTGATAACTCAGAAAACAGTCAGCCAATCAGGAGAGGCTCAGAGCCACCTCTCTTCTGATTGGCTCGCCAACCTGTTGTTACTTGAGTCTGAGAAATGTAAAACTACACTGAGGTGGTTTCTGGCTCTATATCTTCTTATGGATCAACACTTCAAATTAAAAACTGGAAATGTGTAAAATACGGAGCTTTAAATGAGACGGATACTACTGAGAAATTGAAAATATCTGTAGAACACTAGTGGTGGAGTGATCAGAAAATCCATTATCAACACCTCCAGGCCACAGAGCCCAAACACAAGCTGCGTGCAGCAGAGGAATGCCTGGCCCCGGGCGATGAATAGTCATAAATTAATTACAGAGTGCCGTCCAGGCTGATTTGGAAGAATGAACGCTATTGCGGCGATAAACCAGTTGACCCCGTCAACTTGGCAGCTGCCATGACCTCAACCTGTGGCGGTATTAGATGTGGAAGGGCAGAGGGACAATATTTGTTTAAGCTGATAACGAGGGGTTGCAGAGGTTGCGTGTGTGTGCGTGTGTGTGCGTGTGTGTGTGTGTGTGTGTGTGTGTGCATACATATTTGTGTTTAGTGTCTTGTTTATAGTGCATGTGTGCGAGCGTGACTTTCTGGGGAAAGAGCACATGTGTGGTTATGTATACAAGTCAGCACGAGAGCGCGCTAAGCAACAGATTTGTACCTACGCCTGAGTGATTATTGACACAAAGAGTGTGGATGCACGAGCAAACACACACACACACACACACACACACACACACACACACACACCTATGATGTGATTCTGTATGAGTGAGTGAGTGTGTGGCCCTGGCTAGCAGCAAGCTTAATGGCCTACAGCTCTCGCTCTGCGCCATTAACATTCCAGCTGTGGAGATTCTGGCATGCATTGGGAAGCATGACAAGACAGCTACACATCTCTCTCCCTGCTGTCAGCACAGAGCGTGGTTTGTCTGCAGAGGTTCAGGCTCCACTGAGAGGGGATTAAAAACAGCCTCAGATCAATTGTGACAGATCATTTCTCTTCCCATTCGCCTGCTTGTCTGTCACACGCACCGTAATATTGATTTGTTTTCACCCTTTTTCTTCCTCCTGCTTCTGCTGCTGACTCATCCATCCAGCAACAGGTAAAGGAGTTATTTATACTGAGCCCTCCCTAACATGCTATTTGCCCAGCAGGCAAACAAATCTCATTGCGCTCCTTGGCAGATCCTATTAGATACATTTAAAGCAATTATCTAGCCAATATTTTACAGGGAGGCGTCATGTGTTTTGATGGAGAAACACTACATGAGATGTAGCTGTTGGTAGGTGTTGGCACAGGCAGACAGTCAGTCGGTCTGGCGAGCCTTGTGCAGTTTCACAGTGTTGACATGCTGGCATTATGGCAACTGAGGTGTTGCAGGGGGGGAAAACCGCTCTGATGTAACAGATAAAACGCCTCAGGAACACTATTAGCTTCCTTGAAAGATACAAACTAATACACAATTATCTGCGTGCACATGCAAACATACATCAACAGCTCTAAAAAGGAATCAGGCAGGTATGTGAAGCTCTGTGTGCTGGCAGACTATCGATGCCAGTGAAGCTGTTAATCATGGTTGTAATTACTGCTCTACAGCTGCAGCTTATGAGATACACTCGGTCGTGGCAGACAACAGGAGAGAGGAGGTGTATGTTTCAACCAGTATTAGACGGAGACTCAAGTGTATGTGTGTTTTTTCTTTACGTCAGCCCCACTTTTTTTGTTTAGGGACACATCAGGTCAGAACAGCTTCTCATCAGAAGGAAAAGGCTGAAAGGAGAATCACAAGTTTCTCTCCCCGTGCTGCAGAGGAGCCGTAGCTTTGAGCAGGAAAACTGTATCTCCCTTAAGTCTCAAGTATGACTCCTGTTGCTAATTGTTAATCTCCCCTATTTCTCCTGGTGAATTTTAGGAGAAACATATGAGAAACATTTCAGACAAAATAGAAACTAAAATGAAGCTGAAATGAGAATCACAATTTTGTCTCCTGAGCTGTAGAAGAGCTTTGAGTGGTAAAGATTTTCCTCTGGGAACACACAAAAGCTGTGTCCCAACTCAGGAGCCGGGTACTTTCGGAACACTGCATTTGAAGACTGATTGTGTCACAGTGAAGCAACTAGACTGTCCCATTTCGAAGGCTCCTTCTTTTCCTGGGCTCGTGGCCCAAACTATCCCAAGATGCATTGCGCGTTGGTAATGAAAAATAATATGGCAGCAAACAACACTGACAGAGCGCCCGGGGATTACCCTGTCAAATGTAAGCATTGGGTTTCAGCTCAGGTCAACAGCTAACGATACAACTGATAAAAAAAAAAAGTGACATATTGTCACGGTTGCTAGGTGACAGGAGCCGTGCGACACAACCGGGGGGGGGCGGGCACAGCTGGTGACGCAAAGCACAAATACTCTGTCTCATACCGGTTGGGCCCTCGCGGTCTATGACGGCCACAAAGGGCCACGCCTTCTTCTTAGACCACGTCCTCTGGAAGGATGCAGCTCCCGAATCATGACGCCGCTAAAGTCTCAACAACATGACGCTTGGAAAAGAATTTAAAGTTGCAAAAATATTTAAGAAAACATTTTATTTCACATAAACTGTACAGATGAAATTTATTTGACTAAATGATTCTTATACAGGAACTAAAAATAACTTTCTTATTAAATAGAAAACTGAAACAAAAATAGAATTAAAGATGAAAAATGAAAAGTGTTGCTTATTGTACAAAACAGAGAATGAAAATAGAGCTAAGAAAATGAAAATCATATATCGTACCCTGATACAGTGGTAGGCCTTTCGCAAATCATCAGAAAAAAGACAGTATTGTACACAGTAACTCGACAGCCTTTGCCATCTTAGTACAACAGCTCAAATCTTGGCCTCTTTGGTTCCATTAATTAAAATACATTTGAAACAAAATTCAATTTACTTCTATAAAAATAACATTTCAATGGCAGTTTTTGTTTCACTAATCCTGCAACTTTTCAGTGCAAACGTCACAATAATCATTCGCTTTGGAAAGGAAGCGAAAGATCACATTTCAAGTATTGATAAAGAGTTGAGGACTGAAGAGAGAGAGAGGAGGAGGAGGAGAGAGAGAAAGAGAAAGAATTCAGTCTAATAGACAATGTTGAGTATGGGTATAGATTACTATACATTGCATAGCTCATGTGGCACTTATTTAGCGATAGGACAGGACACTCAGTACCCCTTAGAAGGCATTTCTTTATACAAGTGCTATTCAGGGTGTGCATTTCAGTTTCTGCAAGTGCTGCACTGCACTGTGGCGACGCACTGGGCCCAGGCTAAAGAGTCTCCGTGTCCGTGGGCCCCCCCACTTCCACTGAGCCCCAGGGCCCGGGGACGAAGCAGTTCTCTCTCTCTCTGACGCTCCCAGCGCACAAGTGAAGTGCACTTATGAGATCTATCTTCACCTGGTTGTCATGGTAGCAGGGTCTGCAGCACTCTCGACAGGCAGGAAGTCGTGGGTTGAGGGCCGTAGTCAACAGCAAGGATGACGATGATGACAACAGTGGCGGCGGCGGCGGCCTCTGTTGAGGACTTTTCTTTTGCAATTGTGCTGCTGCCGAGTGTTTAATCCTGCAAGGCATTAAGCGCTGCTGGTCTAATTCCACCAGAGAGGACAGTCAGACTGAGTCTGTCGGCATAGTAGCGAAGTGCTGGTGTTCTGAATTGTATAAGCTGATGAATTGTCAGTGCTTTATAAAAACAAAAGTCTGTCATGTGCTTAAAGTACTTAACAGGGTTGGAGGAGCAGGGTGGGGAGTGTGTGTGTGTGTGTGTGTGTGGGGGGGGGGGGGGGGGGGTGAAGCCAATCATGTCGCTGGCTGATCCTGTCACTTAAGCGCTTTTTTATCTTCATTCAAGAGGAGATGATAGGCCATTATTTTTTGACTAGAAATGGCAAAACTAGAGCAAAGTATCATTTGGTGATAATCATTCCCTTCTCATCCCACTGCTGACCGGACACCACTCCAGCAGCGAGCGCGTCACTCAGTCTGATAAATACACACACTCGCACAAGCACGTGCAAACACAGCATGCACACCTAGACACGACACGACACTGACACTTGCGTTTGCTAGATTGCACCAGTGTGTGTGTGTGTGTGTGTGTGTGTGTGTGTGTGTGTGTGTGTGTGGGTGTGTGTGTTTGTTGCTTGCACATACAGTAGGTATAGATATATTGTATATGTGTTCCGTACAATTACGTCCTGTTTGTACAAAAGGCCTTTCTGACTGTTCTGAGTTCAGATAATGAAGCGAGTCAGCGAGGACTCAAGCACAGCCGCACTCCTCCACGATCATGTTGGGCACGTCCCTCTTGACGATGTTGTACTCATCGTCAAAGTAGAGCATGGACATAGTACTGAGCTTGGTGGGGATGCAGCAGGAGTTGACTGAGCCCGGGCTCATCCCTCTCATGCGGTACTGGTTTACTACTGCGGTGTGGAAGGACGACGCCGACCCCGGCACTCCTGCCATGTAGGCGGGGCAGCTGCCCTCGCAGTAGTTACCGTAATAACCAGCTGGTGCGATGATCCAGTCGTTCCAGCCGATAAGACGGAAGTCTATGTAAAACTGCTGCCGACAACACAAGCCCCCGCTGGTGCCGTCACACTCCAGCCCCCGCTTGCGAATGCGGTGCTTCCCGTCCACCTGCCGCGCACGCACCACCAGGAAGGGCCGGTGGGACGGATCGCCCGGGTCCACCAGCACCGGAACAACGCCGGACGCCTCACAGCCCTCACAGTGGACCTCCAGGTCCTGCCTCCGGCTGCCTTTCCCAAACACGGCCCGCACCGCCTCCGAGAGGGGGAAGGTGTGCCAGCCGCTGCGTTTCAGATCCACCCGCTTCTCCACCAACGCCCAGCGGCCCGTTCCCCCTCCACCGCCGCCTCCCGGGCCTCCCTCTGCGCTGCTCGCAGTCCCGGCCTCCTGGTAGTGGATCTTCACCGTCACCTTCCTCCGGAGGCCCTTCTCGGGACCGGCCGGCAGCACGCGGAAGTACAGCCACAGGTTGGCCTGGGACACGTACAGGTTCTGGTTGCCCTCGTTGGAGATGAGGAAGTACAGACCAGACTTGGGGGACATGTGCCCATCTGTTGGAGACAGGAAAAACTGTTTATTCTCCATCTGCCGTTTATACAACATAACTTCAGATGTTATCACATGCCAAAATGAAATCTCAGTATCGTGATATCACATCAGATGCCAGAGACATAAGAGTTTATCACAGGTCATGTGACAATTTTAACTACATCCACGACATCAGCTGCTGGAGACCATGAAATACGACTCAAAGCACGGGGAAATGTCCAGTAAGTGGACCTTGTGTTTAATATCAAACACATTTCTGTTATTTTAAGAGAAGGGGTGTGCCTTTTTCACACACACACACGCACATGCACACACACACGCACACACACACACACACACACACACACACACACAGCATATGCTCAAATAGAAAGCAGAAAGCCCCCCCTCACCACCACCACCCACCCGCCCACCCCCCTCCAAGAAGGGCACAGCTTTGTCTTTAAAGATCTGTTTTCCCCCTTGTTTTCTCTGTTCTCCCTCAATCAATGTGTCAGGTGACCTCTGTGGGAGCTCCTGATAGGCCAGCTGTGACAGGCCAGTTCTGGGATCAGGCCCAGTTGGCCTAAGATCCAGCTTTGTAAGTGACAGGGCCAAAAAGGGGGAGAGAGAGCGAGAGAGGGAGGAGAACAGAGAGGAGGAAGACTAAGAAGCAAAGGAGGAAGGATGCAAGTGGAAAAGGTGGGGAGGGTGGCGGACACGGCCAAGGCTCCCAGGGGGTTCACCGAGTTCGCTGCTAGTGCCCAACCTGAACCCCACCCCCACCCTATCCCACCCCTCCTCCTTCCAGTGTAAGCACCCTGAGAGTGACAGCACAAAGCCCCCTGTGAGGCACTGGGAGACAGCCGCGCTGCAGCCCGGCATTGAAACACGTGGCTTTGTAGCAAAAAGCATGATGAGGCAAAAATAAAAGCCATTTACATGACACTGGCCACTTTCCACAGCACCACAATGAAGAGATCCCGGGTGTCTAAAGGTGGCAATGGGCTCTCCCTAGCACTATTTTTTTCCCCCTAAGCTTAATGATGTCTTCCAAATTACCCTGAGGTAACTTGAAAGGTTTCTATTTCTGGAGATTTGGTACAATGTGCTCAAGCAGAGCAGCGCCTTTGAAAGCAGCCAAATTACTTTGTTTGCCGACTGATTAGTGTGTGTCAGTGTCAACAGGTGGCCACCAAAGACGGGCCCCCCCCACCACCACCACCACCACCTCTTTAAGGCACCTCACGCCTCTTCCTCCTGTAAACCACGGCTTTACATTCACACCGGGACCTGTTCAGACCAGCTCTCCACTCTGTAGCATGTCAAACACACACACACACACACACCCACACAAACACACACATCCATCTATGCATCGATGCACAGACACACACACACACACCCAAGCCCACGGTGAGCATTACATCAAATATCAGCCTTCGCATGCACTGAAGCCTGTGGGTGAAGCATCAAGTGCACAGTGTGTACTCACTGAAATCCACCTGAAGTGAATGACATAAAAAAAACAGCAGCTCTTACCTGCGACTGTTGTAAAGGCCCCTCAGGGCTACAAGTAACTAACCTCACCTTCATTCAGCGCTGTGTGTTCCTACTTGCCTCGACAGCTCCGAGCTTAGAAAAAGAGGCACAGCACCGAGCTGACGGTGACAGCGTGATAAACACACAGGGGGAAGTCAGGGAATAAAACTGACCATGAATCTAAGAGCTCAGCTGTTTGTTTGTGAGGTTGTTTCTCAGTGTTCCCCTCCAGGACACACTAACCACGTGCAGTTAAAACCTTTAGTGTGTGTGTGTGTGTGTGTGTGTGTGTGTGTGGGGGGGGGGCGGTTTTGCTATTTTGACACACTGGTTAATGTGAGTGATATTATTATGGAGTAGCTGCACCTCATTTTAAAAGCAGTCAATTTCAGTATTGATTAATCTGCCTTTTAATTAGTCTTTTAAATCTCTGAAAGGAGTGAAGAAATGCTCAGGATGATTTGATCAAACAGCTGGTTTTGTCCAATCAGCATTTCAAAACCTAAAGATTTTCAACTCACGTAAGAGAGAAACACGAGAAATCCTCACAACTGAGGAGCTGGAGCTGAGCGATGTCTGGCACATATCCTCAAAAAATTGTAATCAATTACCTGCTTGATTGAATTAATTGAATGATTCATTGACTAATCGTTTCAGCTCTGATTCACAGCCACACTTGACAGACATTTACGAACCAGAGACCAGAACAGATTGTGAAAGAATTGCAGCTAGGAGACAATCATTTTGAAATTTAAAAATTATATACATGTATATTTCAACTACGTAAACTGTGTAATCTGCAGCTGAAACTCATCTTACCTCAAGGCCACTCCAGAGCTTTCAGTCATATCATATGATCCTCATCAGGAGAGTTTGCCAGTTGTCACAGAATTGCAGTTTTCAGCTTTCTTCCTTTCTTCTTCTTTTCTAACATCTGCAATTCAATGACAACTCCATCTGCTGATGAAGATCATGGCGTATGATTGAGAGCAAAAGCGGACCTTTATCAGCTGCAGTTTACAAAGTCAAAATGAACTCCCAACCTACATCTACAGCTCTTAAGAACAGTGTTGTGAGCGGTGAAATAAATATAAAACTACATCATATCCAGGTGCTACTTGGAGATATGAGGCGTATGGATGACTGCAGGTTTGATCATACAGCGTCCTCAGTACTGAGGCCGTACATCAACTACTTATTTCAAATTCCTTCTAAAGAAGGAATTGTTGTCTCCATCCAGTGTTAGCTGGCCCCGACACGCCTCGGCTGACCCCGCAGTGGAAAGGTTGCTGGTGAGTATCGGCAGGCGAGACACCTGGGTGGGCTCGGGAGGATAAAGAGCTGCTTCAGCGTGTCTCCACCTGCGCCACCAAGTCAGGGAAGAGGCCGTGGAAGCAGGCAGGCAGGCAGCTCCTCCTCAGAGCTCATTACTCAAAGCCGCTGTCGACAAAGACCACACGGCGTGGAAGGACAAGGGCTCGGCGCGGAGCATTTGTGGCTCTGACATGAGCGCAGGGGTGTGCACATGTAACAGCCGACCCCTCAGCCCCGAGTCTCAGCTCCTCAAGAATTTCCACAAAAGGGTGAGGAGGTGGAGAGGACGGAGGGGTGGAGCTGAGATGCTGGAGTTTTTGGGGAAGAGGTTAAAGCCACTGCAGCGTTGGGGCTGTTGTTGTGAGGGTTTGCTATGGGGACACTTTTAATGATGCTGCGTAAATCACTTATAGCATCATAAGCTTCACAGAGGCAGCCGGGCTTTATTGGCTGAAACACACACTTCTGAGTGAATGTGGAATATGTCTGGTCCAGGTCCAGGAGCACCATGACTGACAGCTCCTCATGAAACAGTCGTGTCCTGAGGTAAACCTGCCAACTGATCCTCTGGAGGAACCGGGCCGGAGTTAATGACCTCCCATAATGAAGTCTTAATTCCGTGTCTTGGACCACTCGCCACGGGTTCACCGGGTCCACGCGGCCACGGCGAGCAAATCAAGAAGCACCGATCTAAACTTCTCCACCGACCCCTCACTCTCGCTCTCTCTCTTTCTCCCACCCTCCTTCCCTGCCTGTGTTCCCCGCTCCGCTCCCGTGGATACGGGACACCAAATCCCTCAGCGAGTACCCATGGGACCATGTCAGGGGAGAAGGGAGATTGGCATCGTCTCCCTCACCTGCCTGGGGCCGCTTGGCAGACCTCGTACCTCTGCGCTACCGCAACCGGAGATAAGAAGCCGCGGTTAACCCTGTGCTGAGAGGAGGCAGGGGACATACGCTGACCTCCCCGGTTCACATGCGCACAAAAACACCTATCCACATCCATTCGTTGGCCCGCTGTTGGCTAAACATATGCCAACCTCACCCCCAACCCAGCCTTGTCCTAAACTGACAACAACAATTCAGGCTCCCCCATGGTTGGGGGACAAGCTCCCCTGGCTTCAGAGCTTTCTGGAGACCTTGCCTCTGAGCCATGCCCCGGCTGGCAGCATCTGATCTGGGGGGCGTGAGCCAGCTGGCCAGGAGGCAGACGGGGTCTAGGGAGCAGGGACCCGAGCCAGCTCCATGGTACAATGCCACACAAATGCTCAAAGGTGTGAGGAAGAATGGAAGTAGAAAAAAACAAAAAAAAAAAACACACAGAAGTAGAAGAAGAAGAAGAAGAAGCAAAGGAGCCCAGCGAACCTTTAGAGCGACAAAAGCATTCTTTACAACACTGCAATATGGGCACACACACACACACACACACACACACACACACACACAATATCCCCCCCCCCTCCTCCCCTCTGCCATCGCCAATGCCATACCCCCCTCCACCCACACTCCCCCGATCCAACCCTGCACAGACTCAAATGTCTCATGCATTATTCTGAGCAATATCTTTTGTTTTCTCTGCATTTCTTTTTTTTTCTTCTTAACGTTGACATGTTGTGTTCAGCAGGAACACATAGTGCTCTTATAATAATTGCCTGGCTTTTGTTCCCTTTTCATGAGGGTGCTCAGATCATTCCCATTGGAAGGCAGGACCCAGCAGTCCATTCAGGCTAATTGTACCGGCAGGGCCAATGGGAAAAGACAGGATGGTGTGCGTGCGTGTGTGTGTGTGTGTGTGTGCATGCGTGTACGTGTGTGTGTGTGTGTGTGTGTGTGTGTGTGTGTGTGCGTGTGTGTGTTTAAGACTATTTTGGTTTCTTTAATTGTATGTTTTCTTTTTGTTAAACTAACAGTTTGTGTCAGAGACGTTGTTCTCACAGCTCTAACTGACAATTATTGGATTCTGTCAAGCACAGATGATTTTAGCTGTGAGTGCGAGTGTGTGTGTGTGTGTGTGTGCACGCGTGTGTGTGTGTGTGTGTGTGTGTGTAAGTCTGAGTGTATGTAGGGAGGGTGTGTGTGTGTGTGAGTGTGTGTGTGTGAGGGAAAGAGAGAGGAAAGGGTGTTCTCTTTGGACTTCTGAGAATTAGTTAGATACACATTCTTAGAGGAAGGGATAAATGGCCAATTGAGGGACTTTGTCCGTATTTAAAAGAGGTGCTTTATACATTGGAGTATTGAGTGTGAGCACAGCTTTAGTGATGAAATTGGATTCAGAGGTTCTTTTTATCTCCTAGACAACACATGGGGGTAATTTAAGGACTCTTTCTTTAGTTTCATTTCTTTTTGATTTTCAGGAGGTTTTAACACTGGCGACCACTGGCTGCAGGCAGGAGGGAGCTGTGATGCAATAAGAGGATGAAAATGATGACTATGGATGTAATAAGTTTATGGCTTTTTCTTTTTTTTTAAATTGCTATTATCTATTCTTCACAGGATTAAGCCTAAACATAAAAAAAGAGAGAATCCTGTGAATGAATGAGATTGATGCTGGGTCCCTGCTCTGCCAGTCAAAGGGTGAATGGGTTCACGCAGGGGTCGGTTTAGATGTGTGCATTGCATTATTGATCAATACCTGATTCGGCGAAGCTGATAATCTCCGAGGTCTCCGCCTGAACCTCGTTGTTGAAGGCGGCCTGTCCGTCAAAGCTGGGGATCTCCACCCGGCCGTCCTCTCGCACTTTGCCGGCGTGCAGCCTCCTCAGCGCCGTCACCATCGCCGCCTTCGGGATGGGATGGGTGATGTTGGGTCTGTCTCTCATCTGCAGCCTGTTCAGTATGTGCCTCTTCACCGCCTCCAGAAAGTCTATGTTCAACCGCTCCGTCTGATCCGGCGCCCTGAGGCCGCAGGACGCGCACGACTCCTGCGGCGAGCTCTGAGTCTCCGTCCCGGTTACCGAGCTGCAGCGCACGGAAGAGGAGAGGAGGCACGCAACTAAACAGGACAATGCCAGACTGTACAAGCTCATTTTTGTACAGTTAACGTTACAGCCCAGATGCTATTCAAGACAGGGATGAAAAGACTAAAAACACACTCTGAGGTTAAAGCTACTTTTAATTTAAAACATGTGAAAAGTTCCGGCAGGACATCCACTTGTGCTCCAGAAGTCAGACGCCTCCAGATATCCACAGGGGCCAATGAAAGCTTTGTATTCCCAGTTATACACGAGTGGAACTGCGAGGCTAATTATCTCTTGTCATTATGCGTTCAGTTATCCAGCGATGCGTCTTTTCTCTGCGCAAAACAAAAGTTCTTGTCTCTGATTGTGAGGCGCACTCAGGAGTTTGGATCGTTGACGCGAGTCTGTCACACCACGTTTAGCTCAGACGTGTAATCGACCAAAACAAACGAGGACGTGGAGGCGACACGGTCTCACCGATGAGTCGAAATAAAACCTGTCGGTGTCCAGAGGCGTCCAGTCCCCATTCAAACACCACGCAGAGAGTCCACCTCTACAGCTGCGGTCCCAGGGAGAGGAAGTCCCGTGGATTTATTTAGTGTGTTCAGCCCGGTTACCGTGTCCTGTCCCCCCCGTGCGCGCCGTTGTGGATGGCCAGGTCCGTGCGTCCTTGCAAGATGCTGCTCGCTGACTGAGACCCTCTTCTCCCTGTGCAATCACGACAACAGGGGCTCCGCTCACCCAAAGTTTTTATACAGGAGTCGAAACCACGTGGGGATTTCCACCAACTGGACGCATCGGATTATTAGACTACTACGTCTCCAGAGCCACGACTCCACTGATGGAACAAGGTTTTATTATGGTAACGCGCCTGCCCCGGAGAGGTTGCATAATTTCTTTTTTTTTTCGGTTTTTTTGAGTTAAAGGCCACAGTGTGAAACAACATTTGATCATCTCACTTTATCATCATGAGAGTGGAAAGCGCAGGTTTAGTGTGGATCCCGGGTTCAGTCCGGACTCTGAGGAGAGACTCGGGTCACAGTTTAAAGATCACACTTATATTAGTGTGTAAAACATGATCTAGATAAATATAGAACACATGACCCTCTCAGTCACCTTCAACAAGTCAGTTAATTATCAGTTAATTATCAGTTAATAATCAATTGTCATTATTTAATTATTTAAAATGAAACATATGGCTAGAACTTTTTTGTTTTGTTTTGTTTTTGTAAAAAAAAAAAAAAAAAAGAATCTGCATGAAGTAATGAATAAAAAACTGGAACTTCAGTCAAGTGAATCCATGGCGGTTATCAACCAGATTAGCAACGTAACAGCGCCATCTACCGACTGAAACCTGCCATTACATATTAACGAGAACATAGATAGATAGATAGATAGATAGATAGATAGACACTAGGCACTATGAGCAAAACACACACTTACTGTTCTTGTTCTTTTTACTTATTTATTTATATTTGTTTATTTTACTTGGTAGATTATAGAAGTTCATATATGTGTATATATAAATATCTGTACATTTTTCTTCTTTTTTTGATGTCATTATTATATTGGCTGTAATGCTTTGGCAATATTGTCCACCTGAAATTTAGGCCAAGAAAGCAGCCTGAATTAAATTGAATTGAACTAGATAGATAGATAGATAGATAGATTATTAATTTTACTGTGTCACAGACAGGAAATGGTTCCTTACAACAAACAGAACAAAATAAAAACCGAGAGAACAACCTTTACTTCTAATATGTTTTTCATAGACACAATGATTATGTTCAGTAATCATAAAAAAATCATAGGCAAGTCAGTCAAGCTACACTGTTCAGAAAGGTGTAAGATTGTTCTTGGATATTGGAGTGAACTACGTGTAGACAGGTGTAGAGCGATGTTACGTAATTTTGAAGAGTTTATAGGATATTAGATACAAAGGACATTGTAATAACTAACATTTTTTGCATCTTTATGCACAATGCTTAATGGAGCTAATGCTAAACTAGCATTAGCTCATCCTCTGGACAGAGGAAAAATATGTCACACAGTTATGTCATTTCTTTCAGATATTTCTCCACTTTTTTTTTCATGTGAAATCCTTAAAAGTTTTACCTCTTAAAAACCCTTCAGATCAAACAGTACAAGAAGAAACTATTAATAATGATTTGGTTAAACTTCTCATAACTCGTGTCAGCACCAATGCCTGTTTCATGTGTGGGAGCAGTAATGTAGGTCAATGGGCCAAATGAAATGAGGCGCGGCAGCAGTGATGGATTAGAGCAGCAGGACTGCTGATAGCTGATTAATTTACTTTTCTGCAGGTACACACACACACACACACACACACAAACACACATACACGCATGCGCTCTTAGAACAGGTTTACATTATTTGATGTCAACAGAGAGAAAATAAAAGTGAAATAAAAAATAAAAGTGCACCAGAAGTTATTAGGAAGGTATTTAGAAATGACACATTAACTCAGTTAATTATAATTAATTATTATTTTATCCAGAGATACCAAATATGTTCTGTTTAACTTTGGAGAAATGTGTATAAAGATGTCCAGAGTAGCTTCATCTGATCAAACGCTGCACCCATGAAAAAAGTGGCAACAGTAGATGATGAATAAGATGAATTCAACAACCTTAAAGAATACACTTTGGGTTATCTTATATGTTTTCTTTTTGTTAACAAATTCCATGAAACGTTTACATCACTCAATCCTCTCTGACTTCTGTTCTCTGTCTGCAACACTCAGCCCCAGCCCACTAATTCCTACTAAAGATGTAAATCTTAAAAATATATACTTTAATTAAAAAAAGGCTCAGTAATTTCCTAAAGCAGTGGGGTATTGTCACTTTTAGCAAACTGTATTCATACAGGAGGTAATGATGCACTTTTAGTGCTCTGAGTCAGTGGTTCCCAAACTTTTCCAACTCATGGCCCACTTGATAATCTCAACAGAGGCCAAACAAAATATTCTCCGACCACTTTTTATTGACTTGGTAATGACTGGACAGGACAGGACTGAAGTGAAAGCAGAGAAACTCAATTTTCACTATATTTATTTATTTATTGATCAGTTTTTATACTCCATGGATGTGATCTTTTAGTGTGCAATCAGACTTGAGATAGAAACAAGTATATAATGTGCTTCAGCTGGTGACAACATAAAAGTTCCTATCGTGTGTGTGTGTACATATATTTATGTATATGTGTGTGTGTGTGTGCGTGTGTGTGTATATAAATAAATATATATATGGTCAGGAACCACTCCTCTAGTGAATACTGTATATCTGGCAGTGGGACATGTATGTGACTGAATCCAAGACAAGAAACAAAAACACTACATTGGTCACCAGACTTGTCCATCACATAACAGGAAATAAATGGTACATTAAGGGTTAAGTCAGAATTCTTTTTGAATGTTTTATTTTAATGAAAAAGTGTGAGGCTGAAACTGACTCTGTGCTCAAATGAATTCCTCCCAGTCCAACGAAATCACATCTCTGTTCAGAGGGATGTCTGAAAGACTGATTCTTCATGTGCTGACTGGTTGCGTGTGATGAGCTACAACTGTACTTTTCACTTGGTCGACTCAAAAGCCTGTGAGTCACTGTGCCTGATTTATAACAGAGCAGTTACTGGTAGACAGAGAGGCAACACAAGGTTGAGCTCTGGCACCATCATGTGTTATTCAGTTTGTATTACAGGCAGTGTTCTTCATCTCCCATGTGAAGGCGACTGTGTCACAGACCTTCAGTAGAAATTAACAGCAGACTGTCACAGCAGCACCGTGTGCAGTGGTGATTCCTGGTTTTTGTGTGTGTATTGGTTTCATAATTAGACTACTGCTTACTTAATTATTAATGTGACTTCACAGCTTTTCTCAATGCCATTTTCCAATCATTTATTTGTGTACTGCAAAAAATGTGTGACAAATGCAAAAAATTCACATCACAAAAATAACTATTATAGAAATATTTCTATGTTTTTTTCTTGTTACAGAAAGTCAGTAAACCCAGTAAACCCTTTAAACACAATCGATTTTATAGTGGTGTGTATATGTGTGTATATACATATATACACATATATATATATATATATTTGTAATATAATACTGTTTTTTTCATTTTTTCATTCTTCTCACATGAAGAAAAAGTCTGTCCAGTTTGTTTCTCCGAGGCTGTTATGAGTCGCCCAGGGTCATTTGCCATATGGACATGGGGCTGTGACTGGAGCAGGGTCTTCCTCCGAGGACCAGCAGCAGATCGGGCAGGTGCTGGACTATGTCACCATCCTCCTCATCCAGCAGGTCTTCCTCTGTGCAGCCCCACTGTTTGCTGAAAGCTTTGTTCTCAAAGGTCAAACAGTTTCCCACCTGCTGTGCATCTTTCCCCATTCTGCCCTCATTGCTATTGTTCAGTTCTGAGGGTTTTGTCAGTTTGCTGCTGTAGCACTTGTCCAGGCTGAAGGTCTCCAGCTCTATAGCTCCCTCTGAGCCCAGAAAGGTGAGGGGCGCAGGAAAACACTTATTCTTGAAGGGCCTGAGTTTGTCATCCAGTAGCCTGGGTTGGAGTCCGGAGCTGGTGTTGGACTTGTAGCTGGGACCCAGTCCAGCGCAGCAGTGGTGAATCTTGTCTGGGGGGCTGGAGCCTTGGAGAGTGGCCACCTGCCCCCAGGTCTGAGTGGTGAAGCTAAACCTCCAAAGGCAGTTCTCTGGAGAGTTCAGGCTCTCGCCCCCTCCAAAAAGAAGCATACTGTCTTTGTAGGCCACAGCTGAGTGACCCATCAGTCTGGAGGGGCCGGACCTGAGGGAAACATCAGAGGAGGAACACACAAAACAGTGTTTATTGTTTCCATTGGCCTATTTCTTTTTATGTATGTAATCCCCAACTGTGAGGGAGAAAAGCTGGAAATCCCCAAATTATATAAACAAAACAAACACTACAGAAGAAGAGAAAGATTATATCAGGCGAATTCATATGATTTCCTGAAAATGTTGTTTAACCCTGAACACGACCCAGATGTTTAAAAAGTAATTCCACTTTATTACAACATGATTCTCACACGATTCCCATTCTGTAATAATAATTGTATTCATCAAGTTTACTGTGAACTGGAGAAATCGAGATGCTGCAACATCACTGCCATGAGATCATGTGACTGATAGAGGCTCCACAGATATGGGATTTCTGTTTTACTTTTCTGTTTTATAATCTGTGTTGTCTAATATTCAGGTTCTTCTATATGTGGAACTGAGTTTATGTGGGACTAAATTTGTGAAATCACGACAATCAAAATCCCTAATGAACACAATTAATACTCAAAATGTCCATCACTGTTTGCAGATACCATCCTATCATACATGTTGAGTCTTCCTGTGCAGAGAGAGTTATTGTATTATTGTTAACAATATTTTGTTGATGCCTATTTTCAGTTTTACTTCCAAATAAAGAGGTCTGATTAAACTGTTTATGATCCTGTCAATAACTGTGTTCCCAGATCTCAGCAGAGAACACCATTCATTTCCATTGGTTATGATAACCAATGTGGCTGAAGCGAGACAAATAAGACCAAAATCACAATTACAATTACGAGTACCTGATCTTTATATTTCTTTTCATAATATAGTTATATAATATAGTAAAAATGTTCATTTAATCTAATCTAAGATCACATCAGCCCGATAACACCCAATGAAAACCACCATGTCGACTGTCTGGGAAAAATTACTCACTGTTATACTACAATTGTGATAAGAATATGTTTCTCAGTACGCAATGAGGAAAGTAGTCACATTACTGTATGTTTGCTTTATTGTCTATATACATAGTACAGTAGGCATCTTCTCCTCTGTGCAGCCTGACACAGTCTCCTCATGTCACCACGTTACAGATGATCTCAGCCTGTTCAGCAGGCGTTGAGGAACTCTCATTACTGTCCTTTCTGATGTGCACGTTTTGATCAAATGCTTTGACAGACTGCTTGCGAGCACCGATAGCTGATTCTCACCTAGACGCAACTTTCATTTATTATAGTGGTGGTAAATCTTAATTAGAGAAAAATTTACCATATTATGATATTTATGGTATAATAATGTCTTTTTATGTATTATTTATTTATTTATGTTATTTATGTCATGACTATGTATAGCAGCAATGCACACACCTGCAAGTGAATATAACATTGTGGTGAAGTGAATATAACACTGGTTCTGCAAGGTCAACTTGAGTCATGTGGAGAAGCTGATTTTACTGACCACATCTCATTCAGCACAGGTGACAATGACGGACTGACCATGACCCTGCAGGTGTGCACTGCAGAAGGTCATCACAGCAGCAGGTCACAATGTTATGAAAAGAAAAAACTGTTTTTACAAGGAGGGGTCATTTTTCTTTGGAGGGCAATGTAAGGAGGGCGCTCATTTTACTTCTGGGTGCGTTTCTCACGGGTGGTCACACACTCATGTCATTCTATTGTTTAGTAATAGATAATGACACAAATAAATGTAATAAGTCATCGCACAACTATGTTGAAATTTCATGTTACACTCCAATGACACTTTCCATGTCTGTGTCACAAAGGTCTGCCTGTGTGGACAGCCCAGAATGTGTGAGAGTGAGGACTTAATGCGCTGAACACACAGTATGAACCATCTGCACTTGTCAACGTCCAGTGGAGTACAAACAGAAACTGCCTGTCTGCCCTGCTGTAAGTATCTGTGTCACTTTAAGGAATATATGAGGGTCTTAAAACAGTAATGCAGTTTTTATCCAGCCAGTAACTGTGATGTAATTACTTATAGTCTTTGATAAAACTAAAACTAAACTATTGCATCACACATTTAAATAATGTAATTACAGAAAAGTGTTAAAGCAGTGGCATCATGTAGAGTTGTGTCAGCTGTAGGGCGACTCGTAATCGACGTAATCGATTATGTAAATACGTCAATTTACATAACGTGTGTCGACGTGTCGCAAGGAGGAAGTAAGATGGCTGCGCCCTGTCAGAGCATGGACTCCACCGAAGAGCAAGGTGCAGCAAAAAAACCTCACCCATTCTAAGCAGGGACCGAACAACATGGTGCTCACAGCAGTACCACCGCCATGCTCGAGCACAGCTTTATTTTGGAGAGACTTTATTTCGGACTGTAAAACACAGATTACCAGTTAAGATTGGACTATTATTTGTTGGAGAATAATGCCCTGCAGTGCACACTTTGTTTATCATATTTGTTTGTTTTAACTCTCAAAAGCCCGTGGGAGCGCATACGCTTCTATATTTCACGTTGTCTGTAGAGTGTCATTGCTCCATGACCGTTTGCGCTCGAGACATGCGGTTTTTTTCACCTTAAACTAGACGATCGGCGCTTTCAGCCAAGCCCCTGATCGTCCGTGTGTCATCACTGACTTAGATCGAGACACTTACATTGAAAGTTTCTAAATATTTGGAGTAGTTTTACCATTTTTCTGGCACATTGCTGCTTTCTGTCTGTTTATTGATCGATTCTGAGCTGCATTCTTTGCCAGTAACGTATAGGTGCAGCCCTGGTCAGCTGTGACACACACTGCACATGGCATACAGAGAGAAGATGTAGTCGAGGTACAGAAGCCCAGGAGTGTCAATCTTCAAAGTAAATGTGACAAACATCAGTTTCACATGTGGTGACGCTGATGACTTGACACATGTGGACTAGAGCTGCATGATATGCAAAAAAATGATATTGCAATTATTTTGGCAGATATTGTGTTTTCAGTTGGAATGGTCGTTTTTTTATTTCCACTGATTTTTTTTTTTTTAATGTTGATATGATTTTTATTGGTTCTTGTCCCAAACAAACATGTTCCTTTACGTCTGGAGAATATGATTTGTTGGCCGGGGCGTCTCTGTAGCACCACAACGCTTATGGTGCCAAAAATACACAGCAATGTGACACATTTTACCTTTATCAAAAAAATTGCAGCTCCTTTTAATTAATTGTGCAGCCCTAACATGGACCCACAATGACGTGTCAAGATGCTGCAGCTGCACGGACTTACATAAAAAACAAAGGCTGCAGTTGTTTTGATGGTTTTGCCGCACCTCAGTATGACAAGCTGTATCACAGATTGGAAATAACTTCAGTATAGTAAATCACATCAGTATAATTAACCATCCAGATCCATTAATATTCTCATAGTGAAAGAGGACTTCACAAAACACCTTACTTCTTACCAAACAAATTACTCTGACTTCCTGTTTAGAGAAGTGTGTAGGAGTTCTCTGGAATGAGCATCTCTCTAGCATTACAGTAGCAGCATTTTTGGCTTCTGCTGCAATTTCAGTTCTGTATCTAGTTGTGGACATGTGGTGAAATCACTACTCACTTGCTCCTGAGGAGAGTCCACATGTGGCTACTGGAATTCCACTTCCAGAAGTCTCTCTGCTCCCGCAAGCCTTTCAAACCCCCGAACAGGTACATGCAGTCCAGGTAGGCCATGGCTGAGTGACTGTGTCTGGGGCCGGGGCCAAACGAGCCCTGCTGAGAACCATCCAGCAGGGACCAAGCCATGGTATCTGTCATACACACAAACACACACAACTAGCAACGATTAATGCACACACTGGAGCTTTCTCTATGTGGCCATCATGCCAGAGTTCAGAGGCAATAAAACACTGCCTCACAACAGCTTACAATCACTAACAGTGATGTTATTAATAGGCTTCTGTATTTCAAACATGCTGTGTCTTTTTGGCAAAATGTCTTACTTCCGCTCTGATTTTGAAACTTTGAAAGTGAAAATGAATCCTTTAGGCAGCACTGTTATTTATTTATGAGGTGCTATATGTAAGCATTTCAATCTCAAACCCAACCAGTCAAGGCAGACGGCCACCCACCGTGTTGGAGGTTTCTTCCTGTTAAAAAGGAGGTTTCCCTCCCCACTGTCACCAAGTGCTGCTCTTTGTGGGAACTGTTAGTTTCGCTCTATAATAAAGTAAGGTCTCGACCTTATCCTGTAAAGTGCAGTGAGATAATGTATATTATGATTTGGCACTATACAAATAAAATTGAATTGAATTGAATGAATTAGAAAGTTCAGTCGCTGCCCCGGCTTGTCCTGCTTCGTGTTTCCCTGCCTGCTGGTAACTACGCTGTCTTGGGCTGCAGCTGGTGACGGTGGTTCTTGTTTTGCTCAGGTAGAGAACTGGTTCATGTGCTGCTACACCAACTTTTTAAACTCACCAAAATCCAAACTCCAGAAGTCCTGTGATGATCCTTTTATGTCGACTAAACCTCCATACAGCAGCATGGCAGAGCCAACCACCACAGCACTGTGTCCTTTTCTGTTGGTTGGCATTTGAGTCTACACATGGACAGAAATATAAACACACATCTGTAAGATGATCCAAAGACCTTATCACTTACAACTTATAATTAACTTCACCTTTCATATTTGATTCACTTTGACTGTATTTCTCTTGTTTAGGTTGCACGGATGCTGCAGGATTCCACACCTGATATCAACCTTGATTGGGGGGTGTACATCTGTGCTGCTTCTGCTGTGTTCAAGACACCTGGGAGTGGAGACATTTCTGACCTGCATATTGAAAACAGTCTCCTGGAATGGCCTCCAAAAGTGAAATTGCTTTTAAGAAATTCTAGACTTTCAGAGAGCTTAAACTTCTCTTTGTGTCTAACAACAAGACATTCAACACCTGCTTATAAATTTAGCATCTAGCAGTTTAGATACACCTGTAAAATCTTTTTAATCCAGTACATTTCCTTTGTAAAAAGAATATCTTTGTGAAATACAGTATATCCTAGTGACATTTCTGACATTTGGTTTTTTTTGTCATACAAACTAGGGATGGATAGGACTACTCGTACTCGTTCTTGACGTCATTATTCGAGCAGCGTTTCACTGCATTATTACATTAGTTCAACTCAGGTAGCGTTACGTGCACCATGGCAGCTGTGACTAGGGTAAGTGATGTCAGGAAATACTTTGATTAAAAAAAAAAAATACGACAATAACGTGCAGTGCAAGATATGTGGCATTAAACCTGCATATTACGTTGTCCGACAGCCAAACTGTAGGCTCGGTTGGGGAGGTGTTTCCAGTCGGACACGGACCTCCCGTATTTCTTTTTTTGCAGTAAACATAATTTGCGAGTAACACTGTACTCGTTCATAAGGCAACGGGAGTACTCAAATATTGAAAATGCCCATCCCCAATACAAACATGAGCCAGCCTGTGACACTTGTGAACATTAAAACACAAATCAGTGACGTTAATGTTTCTTCATTTCTGCCCAACACTGTCTTGTCTTTCTTTCAGTTAATAAGGCTTCTTAGCTATTTTACTACTGATGCTGATACTGATCCAGACTGACTTGATTCTGTACTCAATAGCAGCCGTGTAGTTTTCCCTTACCAGCTAACTACAGTACAGTACAGCGCTACATTCACTTATTTGCTATAAAGTTTAAAGCTTGGTGTGTTATTTTAAAACAGGCTAGATGGATGTTTGAAATGAAATTTGGCAAGAGAGTAGATCAGAGTGTTTTTCATAACATCTGTTACTGTGTCAGATACTGTCATTGTTTATGAAAGGTGCTCTGTACCTGACGGGAGCTTGTCTTTCCCTGCCACTGCACCCACTTCTGCTTTGCTGAAACACACGAAGGAAAGTGAAGAAGAGTTTAGCTCAAAAATAAAGCAAGATATAAGAAATATATGAAATAATACTCATATATCTTGTTTTACAAAACAGTGTTTTACAACAAGGGGAAATACTAACCACATAAACCGATGTACAAGACACAGAATATGCTGACAGATGGGAGACAGTAAGAACGGCAGAAGGGTAGTGAGAAACTAATGGAATCAACTGAAAATCAAACATACCTAAATGTTTGTTGGTGCAAACTTGTTCTATTCTTCACTACTACTGAGGAATTATTTACAGGTATTGCTTATTGATTTCAAAGGTTGAGAGAGGTAAACCAAAAGTTTATGAACAATAATTGTAATGAAGACATTTTATCTAATAACAGCTATTAATAATTAATTCTGGCATTTTATCTAATAGATAAAATCTAGAAACTTCTTCCTTGACAAAGATTTTTTACATAACTAATATCTGTCTGTTACTTTTTGTTCAATGGTTGACTTCAAATTGTTAATTCAGAAAATAAATATATATACACTACCAGTCAAAAGTTTTAGAACACCCTAATTTTTCCAGTTATTTATTGCAATTCAAGTCATGCAAGTCCAATGAATAGCTTGAAATGGTACAAAGGTAAGTACTGAACAGCCAGAGGTTAAAAATAAAGGTTTGGTTACCCAAAACTGAAAAATAATGTACATTTCAGAATTATACAAAAAGGCCTTTTTCAGGGAACACGAAGTGGGTTAACAATTTAAAGCTGTTCTGCAGCAATGAAGGTTGAATCAGCCTTGAAAGCTGGTGCTACTAATTCCTACAGGTGTTCCAACTTTTCTTGATAACATACAACCCCCTCTGTCTGCATAAAAGCAGTGTTGGAACACACTGTGGTACCAGACCCTCATGAGCATCAGGTGAACAGTATTGTACTGCAGAAAGTAGTGTGTTGCTACAAAAATGGCGAGAAAAAGGCAATTAACAATGGAAGAGAGACAGACCATCATAACACTTAAAAATGTAGGTCTTTCCTACATGGAAATTGCAAAGAAAGTCAAGGTGTCAGTGAGTACAGTTTTCTTCACCATCAAAAGGCACTCAGAAACTGGGGGAAACTCTGACAGGAAGTGGTCTGGCAGACCCAAAGCCACAACTGAATCAGAGAACAAGTTTCTGAGAGTTAACAGCTTGCGTGAAGGCGGCTCACAGGACAACAGCTTCAAGCACAGCTTAATAGTGGTTGTAGTAAGCAAGTCTCAGTTTCAACTGTGAAGAGAAGACTTCGAGCTGCAGGTTTGACAGGACGAGTTGCAGCAAGAAAGCCATTGCTAAGATGTCAGAATAAGACAAAGAGGCTCTCCTGGGCCACGAAACGCTGCCATTGGACTACTGAAGACTTTATTATGGACTGATGAATCAAAATCTTCGGTTCATCACGCAGGATCTTTGTACGCCGTCGAGTAGGCGAGAGGATGGTTCCACAGTGTGTGACATCAACTGTCAAACATGGAGGAGGATGTGTGATGGTCTGGGGCTGTTTTGCTGGATCCAGGGTCGGTGACTTGTACAGAGTGAGCGGCACCCTGAACTAATACGGCTACCACAGCATTCTGCAGCGCCATGCAATACCCTCTGGTATGCGCCTAGTTGGTCAGAGGTTCATCGTACAGCAAGATAATGACCCCAAACACAAGTCCAAGCTATGCCAAAACTACCTCAGGAAAAAAGAACAAGATGGTAAGCTTGAAAACATGTGGCCAGCACAGTCTCCAGACTTAAACCCCATCGAGCTGGTTTGGGATGAACTGGACAGAAGAGTGAAAGCCAAGCAGCCTACAAGTGCCACACATTTATGGGAACTTCTGCAACAGACTTGGGAAGAACTTTCTGAAGAATATTTGCTTTCTATTGTAGAAAGAATGCCACGAGTGTGTTCAGCTGTTATATCTGCCAAAGGTGGCTACTTTGATGAGTCAAAAGTTTAAAATACATTTTGGTCTATAAATTGATTCCATGATTTCTTTTTCAACTCAAATTGCTTACTTGTTCTATGCTTTCATTTCAGAGTGCAATGACACAATAAACTGAATAATTTTCAGTAAAAAACTGGAAAAAGTGTGGTGTTCTAAAACTTTTGACCGGTAGTGTATATGCATATAAATATAACAAATAAGTGAAGTCTGGACGTTTTTTAACATATATGAAAGCTTACACAGGTTTCACAGTTGTTTCACACACAACTGTGCAGGAGTGAGTCTGGAGTCAACGTGCAACGACACGCTCTGTCTGTCAAGCCTGAGAATTTGCTGACGATCTGAAGATTGGCTGCCAACCTAAGCTGTACCATTCATGCACTTCTGTAATCAAACTCACCAACGTCAAATACCCAAAGGGCACAGCTGGCCTTTGTGTACGCAGAATCCAACATGCCTCCAAACACATACAGGAAGCCCTGGAAAGGTCAAAGCTCGTAAACATATTATTCACACACTGATGCAACAAAGAGGGTGAGATCAGTAGACATAAGATCATTTAGAAATACGAAAGTGGATTTAACAAATGCATCAACAAATCTTGATGGGTTTGTACCTCATGAGCCACCATAGTATGTTCCTCTAGCTCTTCTGGTGCAGCTTCACTGGTGCAGCTCAACTCTGTCCACTCGTTACAGACTAAGACATTGGGCACAAGTATTTTACCTGATTACAATACATCCTTTATTCAAGTGCATTATATCACACTGGGCTGTATCCTTTCTATATATTATGCATCATATATGTCATTCATGTTGTTGCTTTGAACATCACAAATCTATGTTGCACTGGAATGAATTGAATACCAGACGTGTATCTGACTCTTACCCACACTGTACCTCCAGAAGTCCCTCAGACAGCTGCTGCCTCTGCCTCCCAGGATGTAGACACTTCCATCATAGCTGCAGCAGGCGTGCTTGTAGCGGTCACATGGGGACCAGCTGTTCTGGGGGAGCTTAGTCCAAAGACAGGAACTACTTTGACTCATAGCTTGCATCCTCCGCTCCTACTGGACCATTTTCTAAAAGAAGCAACATTAAATGGTAAGAAATGTTTCCGATATAGTACACAACATACCCATCGCCCTCTCACAACCCGGGGCCCTGGTGTCTTGGTGACTAAAAAAGAAAAAGAAAACTAGAGCTGATATTACAGTCAGGGTTTAGCACAGGCTATTACACCATAGATGCCTTGACTCACTATGACATTACTATACTTTTATTTCACAAGGAGTAAAAGACAAGCAGTAATACACCAGACTGCAAATGCCTCGTATTGTTTGAGTGGGTCACTCATTAAAGGAGTATTCCACTCATTTTAAATATGAATATCAGTTAACTCATCATGGTTTGTACAACTCAGCCTGAACACATGATTTAACCCAGTATCATCTGCTTTAAGTTGAAGTTATAATACAGTTATGTTATGAACAACTGGATTTCCTCAAACACACCAACACTGAAAGAATGGTTCACTGAGGCCACTGAAATGATTAAACTGGAAAAGATCATTTTCAGACTACAAAGATTTTCCCCAAATCCAGGCCTAATTACCCAGAAAGCTTCTGTGATGACAACATTTGTTTCTAACTTTAGAAAAAGTCTCTTTAACTTCAAGCTTTTATTCCACCAGCAATCTTAAGAAAACAACTACAGTATCATTTTCTCCCTAATTAAAGTTCACCTTAAATCATTCATATAGATTTTAATAGATACTGAATTCTTCTATTTAAAACAATATATTATATATTATATAGGCTAATATATTTATCTATTAGCTATTTGAATTAACTGACAAGTCTTCTAGTTTATTAAAATACAGATGGTAGCTGGAGTAATAGTTTTTTCTTTGTGGGAGGGGTGGGTGGGGGTTGATAATCAACTATCAGCTTTTTCTTGCTCCAAACTATCATTATTATATTGGCCTTGAATCCACTCTCAGTCAAGCTCTAGTTCATATCATTGACTCTGAACAGTGTCATTTAAATGAATGCACGCCACCACTCAACTCAAGAGGAAGACTCTGCTTCAGTACACTACAAACCCACCACCTCTGATGATACCTGATATCCTCCGCCTCTCGCCTCTCGCCTCCAACACTGACACCACAGGTATAAGGCATGATGAGTCACTGTGTGTTAGCAGGATAGTGTTAGTTGTTATGGTTGTAGTCGTGTTCAGCTGGGACTCTCTGACTCACAGACACCTGACTGCTGCTATAGGCCCCTGCGTCAGGGGAGAGACACACTGCTATAAGACTGTGAAGTTTGGCACTGGGGAGAAACTCTCCTGATAAGAAATATTCTTAGTTGGAAAACCCTTCGATACAGGTCACGATATTAACTTTTTTTGTTTATAATTGATCAGTTGGGTAACAAAATGATGACACAATGACTAGAGGAAACAATACATTTACATGGTTGGAAAATTGAAATATCAAAAATTAAAGACTGTGACTGTAATTTGATCCAGGGCAGTGCATATGCATGGATGCATATCACCAATATGCTCCAAAGGCTGGAACTAAAGATTATTTTCATTATCAGTGAATCTGCTAATTATTTTTTCTGTTAATTGATTAAACATTTGATCCATAAAATGTCAAAAACTAGACGAAAAACAAAGATATTTAGATTAGTAATATCGCTGAGACAAGAACATGCAGCATTTGAGAAGCTGGAACCAAACTTGCCAGTTAATTTTCAATCGACTGATTGATTGATCCAGAAATTGTTGCTGCTCTAAACTACATTACTAGCCAACACTAACTAAAACACAGTGATTAAATGTCTTACAGGCAGTTGCTCTGTGTAGCTGTATTTGAGCTTTAAAAAGAAAAAGCCATACAAACAGATTTGTTTGGGTTGACTTAGCTGCCAGGAAAAGAAATTTAAACATTCACAGAGAAAAGTGATGACTCACTTAAACAACCTTCTACAATCTTCATAAAGACACAGCACATGTCAGGTGAAGTTGAATATTTTGTTCTTAATCAGCTCAGTAATTTTCCAGGCCGCAGTATCAATGACCAAGAAGGTACTTTCAACTTTTCCACAGCGACACACTGCTCATAAGCTGTTAACAATAAGTTCTCCTCTCTCTTCACCTTCACAACCACGTGGCCTATCCACTACATCTTCTTATCACACTGTCACGAGAGCAAACAGCTCAGAGGTCAGGACACAGCTAGGTCTGGCTTGTCCACACACCTGATTGTTACTTGTGTAAACAGCAATAGAAGGAATAATATACAAACACTTGAATGGATAGCAGAAAACTCACATCTCCCACTGAAAATAAACACAGCCAATATAAAGGATGGACAGTTAATTAAACACTAGAATATCAAAAGTACAATAATCTGTCATTGTAGAGGAACCAACATTAAAGTTCATTAATATCAAATTGTAATTGTGTATTGTGTGTCTTAGAAGTCTGAGACCACTTTCCCATTCACTTGAATGGAGTATTTTGTAGTGCTGTTTTCTTAGAATGCATTATGTAGTGAGGCAATTTGAAATTCTAAAGGAAGTGGGTAAACTGTCCACGAAATCTTAAATCTTAAGTATTTATTTTGATGAAGCTATAGTTTTATAAGAAGTTTCTTTTTCTTTGTAAAAACCTGAATCAACTACACTAAATTCAATAAACATGATTGTGCAACAGAACTAATGTGGGAGAGGCACTGAGCACAATGCTTAAGTGTGTGAAGAGGTTATATACATGTTTTTCCTCCTGATATATCACAGATAAGTTCACATAACTTCTAGTGAGTCTGAACTTAAAACTTCTTAACTTCATTAATGAATTTACTTATTAACACTGAAAACCCGAAATGGGTCAGATCATGCAGATATCAGCGCTGCCTACACAAAAGTGGTGAAGAAAAGCTATAGTCACCTGTAAATCAGTCCAGGCCAAACCTCAACCCACTTTAACCCTCCGATTTTTATCAGCTCATCCTCCATGTGTACACTCTTCAGCGGATCTCCACTACTTTGTCAGCTCAGGTACCTTTCATGAGACTGTGGTACTCACTTAAACTTCTACTTGTAAGGTTATTGTTTTTGAATATATATCCATGCCTTTGTAAAGCACCTTGAATTGCCTTGTGTCTGAATGGTGCTATATAAATGAACTTGCCTTGCTTTAGAAGGTTTCTCTTGTATTGTTAACTGCTTATTCAGAGTTGCCCAAGACTGAGACAAAGTGCCTTTTCTATTTATTCTAAGTTCTAAATGTTGTTACTCCTATTATTAAATATACAAAGTAATAACTGTGATGTTATAACACTTTTAAAAACATATGACCAATAAACCAGCTGTGGGAACAATACAGCTGAGCTTCTGATCGACAGATGCTGAGACAGAAATTGACCCAGTAACACCTATCATTATCTAAAGTCAGTTCCACCGGTTATCTCAAAAACACATGAGACCTTGTCGCTCTAGGGTACTTTTATAAATTACTTACGTTACTTACGTTAACCGCTTGCTTTTCATCATCTTGTAATAGTGTGAATAACATGCGACTTTCTCCTACTAAGATACCGCAGTTAACGTCTCTACATCAACAGTAGCTGTTGCTGACGTTAGTAAACTACTCGTGGCTGTCATGACTACCACTGAGGAGGAATGCGGCCCGTTACTTCACACTACCGTACGCTATATTTTCGGTCTCTACGTGGTAAACATTAACATAGTAAAGTAAGTTATAGCTTTATCGAGACTTGTATTAGTGTGTCATTCAAAAAAAAAATTGCTAACCTACAGCTCAAATCAATTCAAAGCGGGTAACGCAACGCTTTAGCTGAAGAAGAGGAAATGAAGATACCAACTTTTTCAGAGCTTCTTTATCGATCGTAAATAAGATAAAGACAACTACTGTTTCACTGCTGGTTTTGTTTTTATACTCAAATAAGATGTGGCAGGCATTGCATATACGAAAATAAACTTAATGTAAAATAATGAGTTTTTACTTACGAGATTCACGCTGCTCCTCTTCGGGTGATAGTTGACTCCGTATATCGTAAACGGGTTTCTGTTGCATTCAGGGACACCTCGTAAACAGCTCCTCCTAAGTTTGGGAGTCGTGAAAATACTGTAACTTGTGTTCTGAGGTAAGTTTTTGTCCGATATAACATTACTGTAGTGGGAAAATATCCCCACTGAAACATATTTATGTTTATACTGATATTTATATGAGATAGGCTTTAAAACGGATGATTCTTTAAAAACAATAACAGGATTTTTTACATTGTCTCTCATACGAAGCTGAAAGACTGAAAGAAACTGTTTTAGATTTGTGAAACCTTCATTCTATTTGGAAAAAAAAAAAGCAATTTAACAGCTTGCCCCCATCCAGACCACATTGAACCAGGTTTAGATCAAAAACAACTAGCCTACTGTAAGACTTGTATCTGCACTAGGTTATCCCAGAGAAGCTAAGGTCTCTTTTAAACACAGTTACAGAATTATTTGTGAAAGCACACATTTACTGTTTTACAGAAGGCTACTGTCACAACATCATATAGGCTAGTTTTGTGGGAACAAATTAATTAAAGTCCACACCTTTTGTTTCTGATTCCCATGAAAATTATAGAAAGTTATGTTTACCTTTTGAAATGCAATCACAACATTTTTATAGATTTGATTTGGCTTGATTTGACTCTGCCAAGGTTCATTTCCTTACTTTTACCAATACCTTTATTGTGGCGTGTGTTAGAAGCACCATAATTTAACCAACAGTTTGCTTGTTCTTCATTTAATCTGCAGTATATATGAAGGTGATGATATTTTATGTTTTTTTTATTAATAGCTTTCTGTCAATATTTCATCCTCACAATTTTCAACATTTGATTGAGAAATCATTGAATTCATCTCGTGTATCCACTAACCTCTGCTATCATTTCATACCCTGCTCTTCTTGTCGGGCCCACCAGTCGTTCTCACCGTCAACAGTTGTTCCTGCCTCAGCCAGTCACCTGACCTCCCACTGTCCTGGAAACATGCCCCTCATTACCTCATCATCCAGAGAGTTTACACTGTAGACCTGCTGTAGCCGAGTCATTCACTACATTGTGTTTTGTGTCTCCTGGTCATAGTGTTGCAGCTGTTTTGTTTCCCAGTTCTCTGTGCTGTTCCTGTTTACTTATCTTTTGTTGTTGTTTCCCCCTTCCTTTCCTTCACTCTTTATGTCCTTCCTTCCTACCCAATTTTTTTCTTCTGCTCCTCCTTTCCTTCGACCCCTCACGATTTGTCCTCTTATTAAGCCCTTTCTGCTCCCTCTAGAAAACACACTGGCAGTATAGATTTAGTGCACCAAATCTTTTTGTGTCATCATAAATGGAATAAAGGTGTTTTAACTGTGGCTTGAGTCATTTCTGGGATAATCTAGTCCACATTTGACAAATCTAAGTGCAGTAGTGTTTTACATCATTAGCAAGAAAGAAGGCTGAAGTCAAGTAGTTGTTACTAACTTGTAATACTCATAAATATTTTTTCACAATATTGACTTCTTGGACCCTTTGTGAGGAATATGCACTAGCTTATCAGCAATAAATACAATATTGTGTAACCACCTAGAGTGTGATAACTTGCTAGTCATGTCCACAAAGAATGAATGTTTTGTAATTCACAATTATCTGCGACCCTGTTGCATGATTGTCAGCTATTTCAACTTTTATTCAGCACGGTAATTCGATTTTTTTGTCATTGCAAAAGGAAATTATAAAACTTTTATCATTTTTAAACTTTCATTAAACTTTTATTCAGTAAGATAATTCTTTTTTTTTTCCTTTCATCACTTTGAAAGGAAATCATATGAAAGGAAATTGATTTATAATAGTCTAGCAGTAATACAAAGCAGTCAACATGGCACCAGATACTGGGGAGCACACAGTAATTGTTGGACCTGCATCCACACAGGTGATCTAATTCTGATTGATTAGACCTCTCTTCAGGAGGAGAGTGGGTGGAGCTAAACTGGAATTGCATGAGGTCATCAATTTTAACCAGCCAGTAAAAATGATAATGGTGCAACTTGTCCCACCGAAAGAGATGCTACAAAACTAACTGGAAGGCTCAGAGAATATCAATCAAACAGTGTTACAGCACACAGTCTTGAGGAGGAGTCCAATTAGGCACATAAGTAAAAAACACCTGTGTTGGTGAACATTATTTTTTTCTTTATAATGAGACTAATATTGTATCTGTTTTCAAATGATGGTTTTCTTATATCTGTAAAATGTATTCGTATGTTCTGTCGTTTGAAAAGCAAAGAAATGGGAAACTAATCCAGAAATGTCCTAGATTTTCTAACTGGTATGACACAGGGGAGACTTTATTTATTTATATGGCAATCCTCGTCATGTGAAACTGTTAATTCCCACATTCTCCAGCAGTAAGTGAAGGCAGCTTCAGTGCATTCACCAGGAGGAGGGGCATGTGGAAGGAAGGGTGTTGGGTGGGATCATAGCTCAGCACTCTCAATTGTATGTTATTTCAGGGACGTGAGTCACATGATGGCACTTACATTGTATATGTAACTTTGTGACTGTGGACGCGCTTTTCCTGTCACAGTTTGGACATTGAACAATTGTAACTGTACTCTATTAAAATTATTTTATGATTGAAAAGCAGTATGTTGAACCGACAACGTGATCTGTAAAATTTTACTATATTACTTCAGAAGACAATGATCTACATGTGCCAAATTTTTCATAAGGGCACAGGGGTCATCATTTGAATAATTCAAATATTCTCATATATTCTAAAATTATTATATTTTCTTAATTGTCATTTTTTATATCGAATAAAGGCATAGCAAATAAAGGCGTTATTTACAAATAATATGTTTATTGAGTTGATACTAGAACTCACATTTATATCAAAACAGTAATTATTACGTATACATAGTAGACAAAAGAAATGTAAAAGTGTTCAGATAAAAATACATTCTTTCAGCCGGCACATTTCTAAAATAGGAACATACGGAAGTTTTGTAAAATATTTTATATCCATGAAAAGACAAGAAAAGTGTTAAATAGACTGAAAGTAAATTAGTAATCACTTATTATGAAATATGCCTTTAGTAGCACACTGAATTCAGTTTGTCACATTTGTACAGCACAGTGGATAAATAAATTATCTAAAGAGTGAATATGTATTATAAATAAACCCAGTATATTGGCTGTGTCTTCCAGTCGGACTGATATGTAAAACCACTGACATACAGTATTTCAGAACCGTAATGAGCCCTGTCCTCCTGTCCTTATCTATCAACCTTACTTCTATGTATCTATTGGTATGAGGTATAGAGTCAATAACTGAAAGGAGCTGAAAGTTTTCATCAGGTCCCAAATGCCAAAGTTCATCTGTAATAGCCACGATTTCATCTGCTACATGAGAAATAGAGAATAAGGATAAAAAAACCCAGAACTTTTTAAACATAAAAAACATTAAAATGGCTTTGACAACTCAATGCCTGTGAAACACTGACTGTCAGAAAAGCCCACAATTGTCCACATATGATACAACTCTGCGTCCTGTCACCTTAGTCATGAATGTCACATAAACATGCTGTATTTGTACGTGGCTGTATATTCCACCATTCAGTGCAAAATACAGTAGATATACAGTACTGTATGTATACAGACATTCAGTTAATCCACCTAAACAACATTAAACATTCAGTTTGAATCACTGATAAGACACAAAAATGTGGGAACAACATTCCTGACAGACCGTGCAGTGTATGGTTGTCTTAAATAATTATATACGTATATATGAATAAATTAATGAATAAATTAAGAGGGGTCTCATATCGTATATGGAACAATTCAACATAAAACAATGCAGTGTGATAGTCATCACCCCTCCTTGTAGTTAACAGTTGGTCATACTAGGGAAGACACGTGGGCAACCCTGTTCTTACAAAACCGCTCTGCAGTGCACACCTGCAGCCTGCAGAGGGCAGTGTGTGCTCACAGTTAAATGTGGCCCTCTGTCTTCATTAGTGCCACTGACAGTCCAAAGTCTTTACTGGGTTGAAATGTCACAGCTGGGTGTTCTTATCAATGTCCTTCCCCTTCTCTCCACTGTTCCCATTCTCATCCAACTCAAAGGCACTGTTCTCCACAGCGTAGCGCTTCTCTTTGGCTGGTTCAGCGTCACCGGCCTCCAGTGATGGAGCCTCACTGTCTTCATCAGCTGAACCACGGACACACTTTTTATATGCCTGGTAGGCTGTAAAGGAAAAGACATGGAGTCAGAAACACTGATCAGTTGTCTACACAGTATCTGTATATGTATATATATATATATATATATCCCTCCATGTGGACATTCTTTGTTTGTGTTCTCTTCTGCTCTATAACGTAAATAAACTATTGAATTTTTGGATAACGAGAAATTAGCAATGCAACAACTGAAGGCGGTGCTCCACGCTGAAGAGGTGGATTTTCATTCAAGATGTCTGCCACCCTCTCTCCAGTCTCCAGACTCATTGTTACTGTGTTAAGGCTAAAATGTCTTCCCATTAGTTTCAGCAGGGAGGGGGATTTGGTTGTAAATGGATCCATCCTCAGGACCAGGGGTGTAGTGCTATTTGTTTAAGTACTGGAGCGCACCTGTGACACGTTCCCATGGTGACAAGTTTACATACATTAGTCAGCTATGACTGATCACGTGATCAAATGAGCGACTTTGCTGCCATTATGTCCATATCTTGTTAAGTGACTATTATATGGCAGACTCCATTTTAGTGTATAAGTGAGCTGCAACACAACACTGATGAACTCTGGTGAATAAGATATAAACATATTATTTTATCAGTGTTATACAGTAGTAGAAGTAGTTTTAATGAATGTTGATGTATGTGATACTTTATATAATGAATCAATAATAAAATTAAATTCAGCAAATTCAACTTATAAAACTATGATAAAAAACTATATGAATAAAAAAACTGTGATGAAAATATGTCTCTTGATATAGTGAAATAGTCAGGACTTCTCAGTTATTCAAAAAAAGAAAAATCTTTACCTGCGACTACTTGCAACTTTTAAAATGAAATGCACAACTCAAATATCAGTGTGACAATTTGACCATTCAGTTTGTTTATATTGGCTCTCTTGCATGACATACGCTTTAGTGTTTTAAAAAATATAGTAAAATGGTGTATAAATATGTATATATATATGGAGAAAAAAAAAGGTGGGGGAACGTTGATCCGGTTGGGACTGGGTTTGCGAGCATACGCTAGCAGCTAGGGGCTAACACCAGCATTACACAAAGTATAAATTATAGCCTCATATCAGAGCGTCTTATCACACACTTCACTGTCATTAACCTTGGTCACTGTCCTTGAACTCACTGCAGTGAAGTAGCATCCCTCCTTCTCTGCTGCTCATCACATTTTTGCTTTCAGTTATGTAAACAGAGAGGTGAATCACACTCTGTCTCTCTTGCTCTAATTGGCCGGACACTGCGTTGCAGGTTTGTGTGTCAAGGGTCGATCACATTCAGAGAGGAACAACCTGCAGCCATGGGCTGAATCATCTCACCTCATTTCTTGCACCCTTTGGAATGATGCACACGTTGTCACTATTGTTAAATGTGTGGGTGTTCTGCAGCAGTGACACATACAGACCAACGGATCATAATAAAAAAGGAACCACAGAACAGGAACATGCTTGAGTTCTGTCACTTGTGAAAGTTGCGTAATGAATTTACTTTATTTGCTCAATTGGGTGACTTAACACAGAAGGAAATCTGATAACGCTGGGAAACAGCAGGTCTTAGTGAAAAGACAAGGAAGCAGTGTTGTCACAGCAGGATTAAGCCTCACGTCTGATGTTCGAAATAATGAATCACCTCTGTGTATGATAATGTCTTATAAATGTGCCATGCCTTGCCTGATACTATTTTAAAACCTGCAGAAAATTTAGACAAAACGGTGTGTCTGCCTGTTCAACTCTTACCTCCCACAGATATGACTGCCACCACCAGCTGGAAGATGCTGTAGATGAGGGGGAATGCAAACATGACTTCCAGTTCAGCAGGGCTGAAGGACAGCTGCACAATGGTGCTGCACAACTGGGAGTTCTGGAAACCAGTCTCCAGTGCAATGGTCCGACATCTGAAAAAGGCAAGGAAGTCAGTTAAATGTCTTGGTGTATGTGTTTAATGATGATCTAGTGGTTTTGTGATTCATAAAATCTTTTGGCAGCATCAGAAAGTCACCCCACCTGTGCCAGGGTTGACCCACGAAGCGGGCCAGGATGAACCCCAGGCCGAAACCGATGAAGGGGTAGATGGTGCCAATAATCCATAGGGAGGGAGCAATGGTCCAGGAGGACTGGTAGAGAATCCCTCCAACCACAGCTATGATGATGATGAGACCAAAGCCTGCAATGGACCCCACCTGTGCACAACAGACACATTATTAAAACTCAGTTCGTGTAAAATGTAAATGTCATAACAAACTTCACCAAACCCTTTTCAGATTCACAGTTTTTCTTTAAAAAAAAGAGGATTCTTACCTTCAGGATCTTTTTAGCCAAATGAGGCCACCTGCGTTTCACATAGATTCCCAGGGTGATTGGGATAAGAAGGGCCACGAGGGTGATACCTGAAGATACACACGGTCCATATCATCACAGTCCATTTTTATGGTTATAGGATCATATTATACTTGTATACAAAGTGATTATACGATACAATAAAACAATAAGCCAGTAATATAAGCTGTTCTTAAGATAGGCAGAATTTTAAAATAGGTTTATCATCGCACCATACTTCTAGTCACATTATATGGATGTCTTTGAAAGTCTTGTAATCAATCATGAGTTGTCTACTTACCAATACTGTCATATGGGATCTGGATGGTGTTGGTGGAAGTCCAGATGGAGGTGTAAATGAGCAGACAGAGAGGCATCATCCCCAGGGCCAGGATAGAGGAGCAGGCTGTCATACTGATACTGAGGGGAAAGTAAAACGGACAGAGTGTAGGTCGAACGAGCCTTTTTTATTTTTTCATAAAGCCATAAAGAGAACAGGGATATCGTGATGCAATAGTTGAGAAATACAACAAATCAACTGATGTACAACTTGAGGTTCTGCCCTCGTGAATCCCACTTTGGCCCAGTCATTAAAGTACATATACAGTAGAGGACGTTAAGAGGACATAAGGAGGGGCCCTTGTGGGTCCTGAGAATGACTCCTCACATGGCCCCCACTTGTATTCCATGTTATCCCCATCAGCAGATGGGCACACACAGATTTGTAATTTAACATATATTTCATCTTGGTTGTGCAAATGGGACCTAACTGTTATCACAGCAGTTATGTTTTTTTTTTCTAATTATCAAATGTATAAATTAGTTTTTATATTGCATAAAGTTAGATATTTATTAATGAATTCACTGATATTTGTCCTTTATGCTGGTGGCTATTTAAAGAGAGAAATACCACCCAGCTCTCTGGAAATGTGTTTATATATATAACTTATATTCCTAACTGTGTTGTGCTGAGACACAGACATGTTCCTTTTAAATTCACATCATGAATCAGTTTCTGTCGTGCCAGACATTTAGTCCATTAACAAGGAAAACCATGCAGTGTGTCAGCTGGACAGGTTTTTCAAACTGCTTCACAGTGTTCAATCATCCAACAACACATCATTAACTCACATCATATTATCCAAAGAGCCTGCCAAACAGCCAGTCTGGTTTCATACCTGAGGTCCATGTCCCCGTCCAGCCAGTAGCAGATGATGTTGGAGCCGGAGCCTCCTGGACAGCAGCCCATAATGATGATGACGATGGCCTGCACAGGCAGCACGCCGAAAGCCAGCGACAAGGCGAAGGCCGTGAAGGGCATGATGCCAAACTGGCAGAGGAAGCCGATGACGATGCCCCAGGGTCTCTTGATGTGGCCCCACAGCTTTTTGGCATCTACAGTGCAGCCCATGGAGAACATGACCATAGCGAGCATTATGGTCAGCACTGTGCTCAACACCAGGCTCAGTATTTCATTGAAGTTACTGGGAGGTACAAGGCAGTTCGAGCCTGAACAGACTGTGGCAAGGGAGTGGCAGGCAGGAGGGACCATGGTTGTTGGCTGCGGTATGGACATTGCGGACGATGTGATGGGAGAAGAGGCAGATAATCAGTGGCTCCAAAGTTGAGAGAAGAGGTGGTGTTGTAATTCTTAGATTCCAGGAGACCTCTTCAGTTTGTCCTCCTCCGGTATCCAAGAGGATGATTGCCACAGTGAGAACTGTCCGGCTCACTCCTCTTTATGTCCCAGACAAATACGATTGGGAGGGAAAATCAGGTGGAAAAAAAAGATCAAAAATTAACCAATACTTAATGTTTTATGGGGTCAGTGTTCAGAAGCACATGCATATAAAAAGAGAATCATTCTGACATGTGAAATGTGATTGCACCATTGCTCCATCTTTTATTGCCCTTTGGCCTCTTAAAACTTTATTGGACAGCTATGCTATACAGCAGCATCACCCTACAATGTAGGTAAGGAGGGAGGGTGCATGCATTTCTCAAAGTCAGGACACACCCTGTATGGATAATGTATTCGTGCCTGTAAAATAACCGATCGTTATTACCAAGACACCGAATATCCATCAGAGTACAGAAAGGTCATTCAGGGCAAAGCTTTAATATGCAGAAACTGCATTGCTGCAACTGTTGCCCAGGTGATTCACCATTCCCTGCTTATGTGTGTCTTTCTTTTTTTTTCTTTCTTTCTTTTTTGCTTAATTAAAGAAATTAAACAATGTTTTGGTGAAAATTGGTATGAAAAATGATTATTCTAACTGCAAAACTGGGTGATTGGGTGAGTCCACACTTCAATTCAGTCCAGCATCCGTGTTAAAAAATTACAGCGTCCAAATATGCAAAACTGATAGAGGCTTGGTCAATCCACATTTCTGTTAAAGGTACTTTGGCTAAATGTTGACTAGAATAGAGAGAACAGTTATGTAATCAGTTCCTTTGTGTTTTTTATTTGCATTTATTTGTAGAGATTTGTTGTGGTGAGTTATATTGTGACATGACAATGAAATTAAAGGTCCCTCCAGGTGAATATTTTTTGTAGGCACTTTGCATCAACATGTCAAGTGTGCAAACAATAAAAAAGTTAAAGATAAAAATGCATCATAATGTTGAGTGCAAAAGGAGTAAAAACTACATTACCCATTCATGTCATATATGACCCTATATCAAGAGTTATATGGATATATGAAGATATAAGTTTATAACATATATGAAATACCCATGTTAAAATTTGTACATATATTAAAAAAAATGCATACGATGAATTGTTATATGGTACAACATGTAGTGACCGTATATGTCAATGATATATCTAATTTATATATATATATGTTTTTTTTAAAACAACATACATATAAAAATTCTATATGTATGTTTTTCTTATTAATTTTAAACATGTCTATCTAATATCAACACATATTGACAGGCTTTGAGATTGGTATATCTTTATGTAACATATGTCTACAATATAAGCACACATACATAAACATGCATATTTGTATGGTTTAGACATATATTACGTCAATATATGAAGTAGTTCCAATAGGTTTCATATGTAATTTTTTATATTTTTTATATTAAATGTACATATATTACAATTTAAAAAAAATTATTGTACAATTAATTTCACATAATGGGCTTGTTCTTACCTTCTCAGGGTTCTACTGAAGATTTAACAACACATGCAGAACTAGTCTACTTTTTTGTGTGTCTCCATCTGGAAGGAGTAATGTTTAACCTTAAAGTTAAAGGACAACCGGCCGACACCAACTTCAGAATATTTCATATTTTATTCAAAAATAAAAGCTGCTCCAGCCACTATATGTAGCTGCAAATACTGTATGAAATAATGGTGTAAGCGGTCAGAACAATGAAGAGTATTCGGAGGTTCCTCATCCATTAGTAGATACATTTATGAGCAATAAACTGAAGGGGGCACAATAAAAGCAGCAATGTAATCCGTACAATTTAATGCCATTGACTATTATAACCTACAATAAGCACAACTTTAATGACTCATAAAATGTTCTGCTGGGACGGTGCAACAGAAGATTTGCTTCCATTTTTAAACCCCTAGTAATGATTTAACTTGGATTTAATTTGTCACTAATTAGGTCAAGGTGAACTACCGACTATTCTGTATAGAGACAGTGGTGGTCAACTTTAAGAAGTGTCAACAGGTGCACTGAAACCCTTTGACTGAAAAAACATACAGTTACATGATGCATGTGCTGCAACAAAAAGTAGGAAAAAAAAATATTTCATGGATCAAATGAAATAAACACTGCAAGTGGGAATGAAACATGAAAATAGACCTTTTCACAGCAGACAGTATGACTGGTCAAACATTGTTAAACCATTAACTAATAACTAAAGGCGTCATTATTAATGTCGTTTGTCCCTCCTGTGCCTTTGCAACCAAACAAGTTGTGACAAATCAAAATGTCTGCTGTGTAGAAGTGTAAAAGGATCAGATTGATATAAGAAAGATAAATAAGAGTGATCTGATGCTACCAGAGAGTGTCATAGTGTACTGTTTTGCACTGTACTGTACTGTACTGATGTATTACCAGTCAACAAGGTGGTGAGGAAGGTCAGGTCTGTGTTCTGGAGGCTGGCATACAGACAGGAGGAGCCAGGGATCGAACCACCGACCCTGCGATCAGTGGACAAATATGTTTCCAGCCCTGTAATGAATTTGATGTCTCAGTTCTATAAAACTCATTCAGGTGCCTTCCTCATTGCACAATAACCACATATTAGCCAATACCTACTTTACTCTCAGTATGTAGACTTTGATTCATGAAACAAAATGGCAGAGTTTAAAAATGCAGAAAAGATAAACTGCAAATGCTTATTGAGACCACACATTACTGCAATCTAAAAATAAAGAAGCTTGTGTCTAAAAACACTTACATCATACTCAAAGTTCAACTTACATTTTTCATTTGAATAACAGAAGCTTAAGACTTTTTTTTTTATTTGTGGCCTCAAAAATGGGACACGGCAGAAAAAGTTCGGGGACCAGTGATGTGTGTAATTGATTTTGTTGACTAACTAATTCAGTGTGTGGTTTGGTGTAAGATTTAAAAATACTATGTCTGGAATAATAATTAGTGCCCGGTATGTTTTTATAAATAATAATAATCAATCATTTTTATAAAATATATAAATTATGTTAATATATATATTATCATCTTAATATATAAATGATCTATATTGATCCAACTGGCTTCAAAACTTCTAGATGCCACAAAAACCATCTTGTATGAACATGTGTTAAACTTTAAAGTAGCAGTCTCACAGATCTTCAATTTGCTCTCAGGTTGGTTTTTCAACCACACCTTTGTGCACATTCAAATTCAAAGTCAAAGGTGATTTGTCAACCCTGACAGTTTGAAAAAAAAAAAAAAACAATATTGCCACATTTTAGGAGGAGGAGCATTTCTGCCTCTGTCTCACCCGTCGGGCAGTGACCACATTGCCATGATTTTTTTTGTGTCGTCGTTGTTTGATTGCCAGTCTGTGGTCACTGTACCTGCACTGGGTCAGGATCTACCTCTGCTCTCTATCTCTGACAGCTCAGAGAGATACATATGTCCTTCACTTTGTGTTAGTGTCTCGTGTTTCTTGTGTTTTTGCACGTGAGTCAAACCAGACACCCAGTTCATAAAACTGTAAAATGAAAGGACTTCTGTATAATTCCATCACTCGGTCATAAGCTCAATCACCATTATGTTACGTCAGTAACAGTTCAGTACGTTCAGTGATAGCTAGTGATTTAGAAGACAGTTATTTAAATGAAAGTCATTGAGATTGACACTTTGAGGAGAGCACAGAGAAAGTTCGCTCCTTCAGCGGACGAATGTGAAAACAGCCGTCTGGTGTTCACATTTGAAGTGCAGCAACAGTGCACAAGTCCAAGCTTATTTTGTCACTTAAAGCTATAATATTTTCCACTTTAAAATGTCTAAAAATGACTAGTTTTGTGTTCATACATTTTCCCAAATGTTTCCATCAATTCTCAAACCAGAGAAATCTGTGATTTTAACACTGCGTTTCGTTTGGTCGCCTGTGAATGACATCATATCCTCTATGATCATCTGTCAGTGTTGTGGTTGCCTACCAGAAGCTCAAAATGTACTTTTATCCAGTTTTGAGTCACATTTTTAAGATACACTTTTGACACCTTGGTGGTTTTCAGCTCTATATTTGAACCAGATGAAGGATTTTAGTCGTCGGACGTCTGGATCTGAAGTTATCAGAGAAACAAGCTGAGGAAATGTTAGACAGCTCAGCTCCCAGCTGCTGGAGACGTCCTGTCCTGTGTCACTGAAGAGCGTCGGTGAATCTCCGATTTTTAAAGGTAAATTGCTTTCTGGGTGTCTCTGCTGGTTTTAATCCCCTGGTGTGTTTGTTATGGAGAGGAGGACACCTCTGTGGATAATTCAGCTGCTGGTAAAAACCTGCTGAACGTCTGCTTCATAAGTTATCAGAGAAACAATCAGAACAAAGGTTAGCATCAATCTCAGCTCCAGCTCTTCCCTGATTCTCTGTCCTCTGTACAGCGTCGCTCAAACACTGACTTTATTCAGTGTTTTTAACGGTTCGAATCCCCTGGTCTGTTTCTTATGGAGGGGAGGAGACCTCTGTGGATAATTTGGCACCTGTTAACAACCTCCTGGACGTCAGGACCAGAAGTTATTAGAGAAAGAAGCTCAGCAAATGTTAGCGACAGCTTGGCTCGAGGCTCCTCCAAGACAATTTATAATGTGAAACTACTTTATTAATTCATTTATTAATTCCAGTAGCACCAAAACCTCCTAAACAATTTACACTGAAGGAATCCAAACCGGGAGAAGTTGACTGTAATGACGACAATGGTGGTGAAGACAACAACTTATTTTATATTTTTTATTGCCAATAAAAAAAAAAGAAAAGAAAAAAAAAGAAAAGGGGTTTCATGATTGAGGAAATCATGAACAAAAAGCAATAGATTTCTTTGGCTCCTTTGGCAGCGTTATACTGTTGTAATATTCCCAAATGAAAGTTGCATTAATATTTTAAGTTGTCATGCAGTGACGTTTCTGTTGACTTTATGCGTAAAGCAGGACTGTGGTATGAGGAAGGGGATCATGAAACACTTGTGGTGGATCTTTAGAGGAAGGCTTATCAGTCTTTATCTGTCCCTGCAGCTTTTATCTGTCCGTCACCATCTGAATTGTCCTTCATTCGGGATGCAGTAAATTTTAAGTATCTTTCTGCAACTCGTGTGAATCAGTGTGTGAAGGCTTGTGTCATGTCATGGCCATTATCTTAGGTGATCTGATTCCAGATAACAATCTAATCTGATAGGCCCACATGTTACTGTGTTCCCGCTCCACTGTAAAATAAGGAAATGATGATGAGACACTTTCAGCTTCTTTTATGTAACAAGAGAACTAAAAGGAAAAAAAAAAAAAGTAAAAGGATATGATGTGATTTTCAGAGTGTGACCTTGACCCCTTCCTGACAGCTTCTATAAAACTGTTTATGACTACATCTGCTGATTTTAACCTTCAACCATCGTCCTTTGCAGGTTAGATGTTTCCCATCATATTCCCCTGTGTGTGTTATCAATCTTACCCATACCCACATTTTAACTACAAATCTGGTTACCACATGTAACTGTCCCACGCCAAATGTCCTCTGTTGTTATTATTGTCAGTCGCTGAATTGTACATCTCAATTAGTGGAGACTGGGGACGGTTGTAACACTTTGCATTTCTCTCAGTTACTCAGAGACTGTTCGGACTAGACCAATCAAACTTCTATATATTAAACTTATATCTGTTTGCTAATGACTCGTACCATTTAAAGGTGATTACATATGAAATATTATTCACAACATTTATTTGAATGGAAGAATTCAGATCAGGGACGGTTAAAAAAAAACCCATAAAATACATTAAATTTCACTATTCAACTTTCAATAAGGATGGTATTCTCAAAATATACATTGTTTTACAATAATATGATAGTATTATCATATGATATTATCAAAGCACAGTTATTGAGTTAGTAGAACATCGGTCTACCTTGAGTCAAAACAGGCAACATTTATCTATTTTACTGCAGTAAGTTTAAGTTAATTGTCCTAACCACAACATCAGGACAGTTTGACAAAAATTACTTTCATACTTCCAAAACATTTTTTTTTTCAATAAAGGAAACATCAGTGAATGTGTCCTCTGTCTTCCTGGTGGGGGCGAGGGTCTAACTGACAATATGCAGTAACATGTTTCTGATTGGAGAAACTATGTGTTGCAACCATCTGCAACAAATGGCAGCAAATTATCAGTATGAGACTTGTCTGAACAAAGTAATAATTTTGATGAGTCATAGTAATGTAGCCCAGGAAGTTAGTTGCCACACAGGACACAGTTACTGGGGTTGTTGCAGCGCTGCGTTCAGAAACTGTGATTTCAAACGAGTGGTCAGGAAAGACACATTCCAACCCTGAATGTGGCCTTTGCTCTGTCTCATGTCAGCGGTCGGAGACTCTCCTTCACGTGCCATCAATCACACATGTATTCAACTCAAACAGTGAGTCCCACGCTCTATCTACGTCAAAACTCTCATTTCTTATTTTTCACACCATCTACTTCCGTAACTTTTTCTGCACATTCAGTGCAACGCTGTAAATACCTACAAGGAAAGATTTAATCGATCCAAAAGTGTGTGTCCTCAACCCCATCTGAATGATTATTGTGTGTAGTCCCTCTCAGACATGGTCAGATGACATGTTCTACAAACTACTTTTGTTTGAACATACTCTGGCCTTAAGGACCTCAGTACACTTCAGAAGAGATGCAGATTTTTCTAATAGTGTCTTAAAGCTATAGTATGTCACTTCTCCTCATTAAAATGTCTAAAAATGACCAGACCTGCTCTCTTTTTTGAGTTGTGTTCTTACATTTTCCCAAATGTTTCCATCAATTCTCAAACCAGAGAAATCTGTGATTTTAATCATGGTAACGCTTCTGTTTCATTTGGTCGCCTGTCAGTGACGTCCTGTCCTTTATACACGTGCCAGTGTTGTGGTTGTCAAAACTGACTTTGTTTCCAGTCTCAAGCCAAATTTTTATGTTACACTTATGAGCTCTTGGTCCTTTTTAACTATATATTTTTATTGGATAAGGGATTTTAGGACATCTGGGTCTTAAGTCACCAGAGAAATAAGCTCAGGTAACATTTGCAGCAGCTCGAACTGTGTCGTAAAATCACTGATTTTTTACTACAAAACTAGCTTTATTCAGTGTTTTTACCAGATTTAATCACCTGGTCTGTTTGTTTGATTGTCTGGACTGTAAGTTATCAGAAAAACAAGCTGGGCAAACGTAAGCAGCAGCTCAGATCACAGCCCCTCTGAGATGAAACGCTTTATTCTGTGTTTTTATAGGTTTTAATCACCTATCTGTTTTTTCTGGAGAAGAGTGAGACTTCCTAAACAATTTACACTGAAGAAATCCTAACCAGCAGAAGCTGACTGCAATGATGTGTGGAAGAAAACAACTCCTATGATTGCATGCTACTTCACGACATCCCCGAACGCCAAATGTTCTTATTGCTTTGATCGGGAGATCTCTAGCAGAAGTTACATACTGTGCATTTAAACACCATCTGCCAACACATTTCTGATGGTGAAATCTGGGCTGTGTCAGCTAATTCTTATAAAATTATGAAACTGAGAAGCACATCCGTCTTAAGCAGCAACTGACCAAGTTTGCACAGGAGAAAGTACTCTAGATTGAATTTCAGCTTTTCTCTCAAGCTCTTGAATTTATTCCTCATAAACTACTTCTATCATCCAAATGTAACACACTGAATGCACAACACGAAGAGACCCAAAGCCCCAAAGTCTGTGTTCTTTCCCCCACTTGCGCAATTCACCAGGTCTCGCTCGTCTTTATAACGGCAGGCTTCTCTCCGTCTCCGAGTGTGGCCATTTGGAACAGGCGTAAAGACCTTTGCCTTGAGACGTGGTTTGTTTGAAGTATACTGACTGTTTCAGGGTTAATTGTCTGTAGAGGTAGTCACATGTTCAGCGCTAAATGCTGTCCCAATAAAAATAATGTGTAACAGGACTCAGTCACACCCAAGTTTAATTATGACATAAAAACCTGCTTTGCTTGTTGTCCATCAGGGCTGCACGATATGCACAAAGAAATCACATTCCCATTGTTGTGGCAGATTTTGCGATTTCAGTTGGAAAAAAATTTAAAAAAATCAAAATGATGATGTGATTTTTGTTGGTTCTTGTCCCAAACAAACATGTTCCTTTACATCTGGAGAATATGATTTGTAGGCCGGGGCGTCTCTGTAGCACCACAACAGTTATGGTGCTAACAATGCACAACGATGTGATACATTTTACCTTTTGATTTGGATATTGCACTTGGCCATATTGCGATTTCGATTGCGATTTTCGAATTTGTGCAGCCCTGTTTCCCATTAACATTCAGCATGTAAGGTATGCCTTTTATTGTGAAAATGACATTGGAAGACAATGAAATTGGAAAGTAAGAGCGGGATCAACACCAGTAGACTACATAGATGTAGTTCTGCTCACTGCTAATGTTAAAAAAAAAAAAAGAAAAAAAGTATAAGACATACCACACGGGTTGAAGAGTGACACCACTTTGAGTTTTAGTGTAACACATTATTCCAGGTCCATCTTTTATTCATTATCATTTGGCCTCTTAAAACTAGACTACATTACTATTATTACATTAAGAGGGTGACAACTCTCCACCCAAGCAAGAGTGCACTGAGTACCAACTAGCAGCTCCAACATTATTAGTTGAAATATTTAAGAAATATAAAAGAGTTCTTCCTCAAGTCCTACCTCTAAGTTACACTATATGGCCTTAACGGTAGTGGTGTAATGTCCACAAACCACTGCAGTCGCCAAATAGTGCACATGCACATCTGTTTGCACTGTAGAAGGCGCAATGTAATGTATAACCATAAAGTTAAAGGACAACCAGTCAGACCAACAACAGTGGATTTTACACTTTATTTGAAAATAAATCTTCAGATATTATCTACAGTAGCTCTACATGGACAAGTAAAGGAGGTCCCATTATAAGGCAACACATATCATCACTTAGGGATAAAATACAAATCTTGAGAATCTTCCAGATTCGAGAGAAGGTGTCCAGACCTCGCTCACTGGCCTCTCATCAGCTTTGAGAGGTGTTTGATAACCTGATGCTGCCTGTTAGATGAGTAATGAAGCATCTCAGGAGGTAGATGCCCAAAAAATGGAGGGAGCTGTCACAGAGAAAAAAAATGCAATAAAGAAGGAAATGAGTCTATTTAAACCACAAAGCAGGTTAACATTGGACAAAAAACTGTAATATAGACTAAAACTAGAATTAATTAGTTAAGAAAAACAAAGTATGAGTATGAGACTATATTGTTAAAATGAAAATTATGCTGTGAAAATGTACAAGTTGCTAAATTTAACATGAACAGGTCAAAACATGGGAAGATGTCACTAAAGGACCTTTCAACGATACGGCTGTTATTTATTTTTTGCAATCTCAACAAATCCCATGAAAGGAGGAAAACCAACAATCCAACTTAATTCTCATTTGGTGCTGTAGTATATACACAGCAGTGGAACAAGCAGTGAAACAAAGTAGCACAGAGGAATAAGACATGAGGCCTTGGACACACACGCAATACTTAGTGGGATCAGCTGATTGTTGGTTTGGGTCTTTTCATGCAATTTATTGACAGTAAGACAAAAAAAAAAAAAAAACTATCACCAGTCTTTTCTTGTAAGTGATTGGTTAGAGGAAGTGTGAGTCTCACCTGACCAGAAATGGCTGAGGAAAGCAGCTCGTCGTCTGCGTTTTAACCACATCATGAAGATTCAATAAGTTTGTCAGCAGAGCTCCGCTACCGCATTTGTCAATCTTAGTCACCACCATCTGCACAACAACACGTTTCACACTGAGATTTACACAGTCTTGAAAAATGTAACAACACAGAGCCATCAGTAAACATCAGCAGGTCATATACATTTACAATAAGGAGTATGTCATCCTCATCTTGTTCTAATTCATCAATCAACTAAATCACTGCACTAACTCACTGAGCCTTCTCTGCTGGTGCGCTGTGTTGAGTCAGCACAAACAGACTCATTGTGACACCTACTGGCCACTTAACAATACTACACTACACTGTTGATATTTCTTTAAATTGTGGACATAAAGATTTTGGCTTTTTGTATGATTGGTTTTCTACTACTGAGTAATAATACTATAAGAATATTATGTGTTTACAATTTTCAAAATGAAGTCTGGAAATTCCTCACTGAAAAGGAAAATCTTTAAATGGTTGGATGAATTATGGGCGTCGAGTGGCGCAGTGGGTTGAGCAGGCGCCCCATATGTAGAGGCTACAGTCCTCGCTGCAGTCGGCCCCGGTTCGAATCCCGCATCGGACGGCCCTTCACTGCGTGTCATTCCCCCTCTCTCTGCCTCCCCATTTTCCTGTCTCTCTCTACTGTGCTATCCAATAAAGGCATAAAAAGCCCCAAAAAATATACTTTAAATGGTTGACTAAATTTAAAACCCATCATTCACTACACTCATGTACTGAGCTACTGGCGATCTGTCCTGTATCTTCTTCCAGGAAAAGCAACAACTTTTTAAAATTTGAACGTCACCATTTCAGCTCATGGTTCATGCTACCTCCTTTTTCCAGCAGTGGGAGTTAATCTTAATCTTTGTTAAAAGCCGTTCTGTCACAGTTTTAATAATGGTCAAAGTGTTTAATAACGTGCGGGCATGAATAATTGACGACAGAGAGCGGGGAGAGTGGGGGTGCTTCATTATAATGCCATGGCGGTGGCATTTCAGAGGGGACAGCAGTTTTTAAATAGCTGAGTGGGAGCGTTCAGCATTAATTCAGTGTGGACATAATGTTGAGGACTTAGAGAAGAAGAATGAGTTAAATGTAAAAAGGAGGGGTGAAGTCTGGTTAGTCTCAGTGCTCACAGATGAAACTGTGTCTGCTAGGGCTGAATGATTTGCAAAAACAAAAAAACAAAACTCACATTGCTATCATTTTGACAGATATTGTAATTGTAACACGCCATGATTTCAGAAGATGATTTGTAGGCCAGGGCTTCCTGTAGCACCACAATGTTTTTATATTACATTTATAAAAAGGTCTGTTGTGACACATTTTACCTTTTATCAAAAAATTGCAGTTCCTGCCATTTGGATATTCAACTTGGCCACATTGCGATTTCATTAATATTCTGATTAACTGTTCAGCCCTGGTGTCTGCTAACCTTTTTCCATTGTTTGTTTTCCCCACACTTCTCATACTTGGTTGGGGTGCGTGTGGTTGGTTACAGGCAGGCATGGGCAGGTACTGTGTGCTGTCGCAATGTGATGTGGGCTGTAAAGCCTTTCATTTCTGTGTTGCAACATGACGCATACTCACACTTCAAATTGCTATTTGGCAAGAGTTGGTAAAGAGTAGCTCATGTCTGTGTCACACTGAAACAGCATTTAACATTTCAAAGCTGCAACCAACAATTATTTTCATGATCTGTTCATGATCTGCAGATGTCTTCAAATGTCTGTTTCTATACAGCCATCAATCATATTATTAGAATATATTAGAATATCTGGTGTGAGCGGCTCTGTTCAGCTCAGTCCACATCATCTCTGCTGGATTTAGGTCTGACTGGACCACTCCAACAGGTGGATTTTCTTTGTTTAGCTTAATTGTCCTGCTGCATCAGCAGTTTCTCTTGAGCTTTAGCAGTCAGTGATGTGCTGTCCAGGTCCAGAGGCAGCAAACACCCAAATCATGACGCTCCCTCCACCCTGCTTCACCTTTGGGATGATGTTTTAATGTTGGTGTTCAGAGCCTTTTTACTCCACACATGGAGCTGCAAGTTCTTCCCGAACAACTCAACCTTAGTCTCATCAGTCCACAAAATGTTTTCCCAGTAGTGCTGTGGAGCGTACAGCTCCTCTTTGGCCTGAACTTGTCTGGTTGATTCTTGAACAGAGATATTAACCAGATCATTCTGTGTTTGTGCCATTGGAGTCATCTTAGCTGGACCTCCACTTCTATGGAGAGTTTCCATAGAACCATTTACAGTTTGTCTGACTGTGGCTGATGAGGATCTAAACTCTTTGAGATGACTCTGTGACCCTTTCAGCTTCATGCTAGTCAACTGTCTTGGATTGAAGTCTTCTGAGAGCTCTTTTTCGAGGCATGGTTCATATCAGTAGATGTTTTTTTGTGAATAACAAACTAAAAATGTGAAGTAAAGTGTTTTTTTATAAGTCAAAGTGTCTCTAACCCAAACCTCCAGTTTGGTTTCATTGACTGGACTCCAGGTTTGCTAACTCATGTCTAGCTTGTTGACTCCGTTAGCCAGCAGGGTTCTCATACTTTTTTCCTGATAAACATTGAGTGATGTTTTCAATATGGACGAGGACATGTGTTATAGAGTGTTATAAGTAAAAATAGATAACTGTAACTCAGATGAAGATTTTACCATATTTTAAGACATTTTTGGAAAACATAAAGGGTTCACTCACTTTCTCTTGCCACAGTTTTCTGTTTTTACTTATTTAGAAAATCTTTTCCCACCAAACAGACCGGATGTAACTACTAATGAAGAACATGTGTGTAATCTTACCACATATGGACGTCTGAACTCTTCACACATTTCCAGGGCAATCAGGTCGGCCTTCTGAAGACCAACGCTGCCATCAACCAACAGGAATGTCCTCACAAGACTGAAAGACAAGAAGGACGCATTAGACAACTTCATATGGAACAAAAACCAGACAGGTGGATGCGACTATTTCCAGGTCGTCCACTCATAAACATAAGAGCACAAACTTTTACTGACACAGATCCTCAGTTGTAGAAGACAGGGTCAGTAAAGTAAAGGCAATTTCTCAGGTCAGTTTGGCTAAAAGATCATTGATTTTCCTTCCATATAGACTCTTAAGAGTAAAACACAAATAAATTCTGATGGCTTATCTTAACATACAAGTGCAATGACTAGTGTTTCTACTGTGTCTGTTTAAAGGGTTTAAAACTCCAGCAACACTCGCAGTCAACAGAAGAACTTCACTGGACCGTAATTTACAGATCAATGCAAACTGATACGCCAGTGTTCTGTTACTGATAAAATCATCAAAGTGGCGGCAGATTTATGTTGTGTCAGAAACAGATGTGGCTCTGTACGGTGGCCACTAAGGACATAACGCATGCAAGACTGAAAGCACAAACACAGAAACACTCACTGAATACCAAAACGCCCTGAATACGAAAACACACACACAAAGACAGAAAACACACACAGCGAGATGATGAGCTTCATCTGGAGAACCAGCAACATCATGCAAACTTTTCAGATTCATGTATCTATCCTAACTTCAACCTTATTAAATCTGCAGTGTGGAACTTTTGTCTCCCCCCTCTGGCAGTGAGAGTTATTACACAATCCCTGTTGAGAAATTTCCACAGTTCCAAGGCAATGAGATAATAGGATAATAATTCCTACCCACGCATTTCCCCGTGGAACCTTCAACATATTGTACGCTGTCGCAAGGGGGACACACAATAAACATAAATAATACAGCTGTCTGTCCAGCGCTTGTATTGAGACTCCAGATATGTTTACACTGTACATGTAGACAACAGGACAGCCTCTTCAGCTCTGGCAAACTCACTGGTTGACGCGTCTCTACCGATGTACAGCGTGGGAAAGTCACCTGATTTAAATATCTGTTATACTGCTGAGTACAGAGACATTTACTTGGCACTGATTGGCTTAAACGGCATCGAGTGAACAGCTTGAATGCAACAGATATCAACACTAGACTCACGATGCAACACTATCCAAGAACTTTCAAAAGACTGTGGAAACTGTCGTCAGTCGTATGTTAACAAGTTGATCAATTGAGAACAGTTTTTAAGCGAGTTCTGTTATTGGTGTTCAAGAAAAATCATGTGATAGGAAGGTTATTTATGGTCAGTCAGAGTGTTACTTTGGTCCTCCAGACATTAGTCACATGTATGAAAGCTAGTAATTCTCTCTGTGCTGAGACGACGCAGTGTGACTCCACTGTAGATACATGTTACTGTTAAATGTTGCTTTCTCAGCCACAGTGAATATCTCACTTTTTCCTTGTGTAAAGATACGGCTCCACCATTTCCACAAAGTCTTTGGGCGCTCTGTGTCCATAGCCGGGCATGTCCACGACGGTGAAAGCTTTGCCCACTCTGAAGAAGTTCATCTTCTTTGTGTGACCCTGAGAGGGAAACACCAAGAGAGACACAGAGGTCACAACAGAGAAATACAAGAGGCGCTAAACTGCAAACAAGGGTGAAGATTGTTGTGATGTGACGACGTGAAAAATGAGAACACACTCTGTACACTGCATATACCAAGAGGTGCCGGTAACAGCAACACGAGCATCAATAGAAAGAGAAAAAGAGAAAAGGAAACATTTCAATACCTGAGATGAAACCTGAGTTTCAATACAGATAGCAAAACAAAAACTCTTGACTCAATATGAGGGTATACCCTGCGCAACGGTAGAAATGTGTCCACCAGTAGATATTTGGCAATACTGCTTCCGCTGCTGCACCTATCCCTCAGTGTCTGTGCTATATATTCAGTGATCTCATCGTTCCAGCTGTTTCGCAAGGTAACGTGATTTGTGCCGCAGGACTGCTCATTTTGTTCATGTGACGTGAGAGCGACAGTCAGTGGCGGTTTGCCAACCCCAAACACTTACTGTATCCTGATATATACTTTTGCCGAGATATAAAATTACATTTACTGTGATAAAAACCCACCTCAGCCACCTGTAATCAATCATTATAATTCTTCATCCTGTAATTTTTCCACAAATATAATAAACAAGAATTTTGTGTACATAATATAGAATAAAATTGGCAACTGGGATTTTGATTTGAAAAAAAAAAAAAAAATTGAAAAAAACATGTTTTCATATTAAAGCAGAAATTTATACAAATATTGTATATGGTACAACAGAAAACAACAACTTCATTCAAGCTTGATCAGATATGTAGTTACTGCTCTTTGGCTCCGTAGGACAGTATAAACCCTAGAACTGAGACAGACAGACTGGGTGTTGTTTGAAGCTACTCACTGGAGTTTTGGAGATTCTGACTTCCACCTCAGGAGACAGGGAGAACAGAGCTTTGACCAGAGACGACTTTCCCACGTTGCTTCTGCCGATGAAGCACACCTGGGAACACACACACACACACACACACACACACACACACACACTTTGCAATATTGTGCTGAATTACGATGATTGAACCTCCTGATATTAATTCAGTGATCTGTGCTGTAAGATTTTGTGCTGGAATATTTTTCTCCTCATTCAGTGAATCACTCAGCTGCTCCGTCTGTTACGGGCTGCTGCGACCGGCTGCCACGCTCTCGCCGCTGCAGTACCACGATCGCAGAGTCCCGCAGAACGCGGCTCGGGCTCATCCATCTCTCTGACACAGGACAGATGGATGGAGGTTGGCGCTGCCAGTGAGCTACGAATACATCATCCTCTGACAGGGCAGAGGGGCAGAATGGTAACTAACTCGGCATGCCAAAGAGACCCTGTTGTCCTATCAACACAATGTTCCACTCTGATCCCTCCAGTGAACACTACTGTCTATAAGGTTATAAATCTGCTCATTTATTATCAAGTGTCAGCTCCTGCTTAATTATGTATTTGGCTCCAGGAGGGTAAAGAGACATTACACTACATTTTTCACTGGCTTTGTGTTCATATTTTGGGACAAAGAAGGGCAACATGAACAACCTCTACATGTTACACTATGGCTCTTTCCTTTAGTTGCTCTGTGTTCATCCTTTCAACTTTAGCTCTGGTCAATAATTATACAAGTTTTAAGCCTAATAACACCATCCTGTTGTCACCAATATGACAGTGACACAACATCCAGAGGAGGTTCTGCTCACAGCTGAACAATAAAGAACAGGAAGTCACTATGAAAAAAAAATGCAATACAAAGTGGTTCACAGAGGTCCACAGGTGTGGAATGAGCTTGATAACACTATAAAAAATGTCACTATCTCTTGTCTGTTTTTAAAAGCAACTTAAAGCAGCAGTGATAATCAAAATAAATATAATAATTCACAACTAGTTACTGTTTATCTTGCCTTTTGGATTAATGTTTGGACTGATGGGATAGATGTTTTGGAACTATCTCTTTTTAGGGTTGTAGGTATCTCGTGTAATTGTATTAGTACATCCAGTGACTGGGCCCCTGCTCACGAGCTTCTGGAGCTCATTGGTGTCCCATTTTCACCCATTTTCACCCATTATTATCATGTTTTGTGAGCTTCTACTTGTGTTTTATTCTGATTTGTGTGAAATGAAATGAAGCGGGAAAATGCTCAGACTTGAACAATAAACAACATAACAAAAACAAATTTTCTCCCTCAAAATTAAAATGACACTTCAAAATCTATCATGTCATGTAAATGGGATCTGAATCTTATTTTGGACATGTATTTACAGTACACTGCATCAGATGAACAGGAAGATGTTTGGTGGCACTTTCTTCCTGGATAAAACGTTCCCTCTACAAAGAAGCAGCTGTCGCAGACCACCACAGTGCTACCATGCTACTCGCTATATGATAAGAAAGAAAGAAATCATTTAAATTGCAGCTTACACCAATTGGTGTTCTCTCTACCTACCAGTTCATGAGGTTCCTTTAGCAGGCTAGCCATTAGCATAGAGACCTAAAACCGCCATGCACCAGAACAACGCAAGAGACTACAGTGATGGGATACTGGTAAGACATGAAATACAATCCAGGAAGTCCAATGGAATAACAGATCCATGAGTTTGAAGGCTCTGCAGCAGTTCATAATACACTAAGACAAGATTTTACGACTCTACAACAACTAATGTATCCTTTATTGCAACGACTGCCAGGTAAACATCACTAATACTCTGTTCAGTCACAAAGTAATCTAGTGTCTGCTTGCTTGTATGTATGTTATTGGCCGACGCAGCACCTCACCAGATGACGTCATACTGCGGTAAAAGTTTAGCCTGATTCAACTTTTTGGTCAAAGACCGCTGCTGAGTAACGAGCACTGAATTTACTTAAGGAGAGCAATGCTCCTCGTTAGTGACTCTCGTGGTTTGGGACGGTGTTTTATTAAGAATAAAAATACATGTGGTCACATTCCTCAGCCTGTTAGTCTGCACGTCAGATCAGTCAGTACACTGGTGCTGAAGGCAGTCTGCACAACTCAGACCTGTGGCTCACATTATGACAGTCTGCTCAGTTCCTAAAAGCTTTTGTTTGTCTGCATATGCACACGGCTTCAAAACAGAAAAGTGTGGGGTTGAAAAGAAATCATTCCCATGCAAGTTCTTTTTGCTTAAACCCTTGAAAATAATCAGACCTTAAAAAAAAATCATACAAAAGAAATGTGTAAATATTTAGACATGTGTAAGTGTCTGTTTGGAGCGGACCTTTCATTGGTGAACTGACAATCAGATATTACAAGAGGGGAAATTGCACCTGTGCACCAACATCACCCTAATATTTATTCTTCTATTTTTCTTTGTATAATTTATCATTACTTAAATCTTAGTTTTATCTAGTTACTGTTCATGTATAGTAAGAATTATATGTATTAATTACAAAGAGCAAAAAAAAAAAAGATAAAGAAAATCACATTCTACCACTACAGATGACTGTCATATCTCAGTGAAACACCAAGTGTTTCGAGTACATAATAAGAAACTGACAAGAGGTGCATGCAATTTGAGATGGTGTTTTATATATATAAATAAATCATTTTATGAACTATTTTCTCCCAGCGGTGCACAACAGCCATTTAAACTTTCAATTAAAAAAAAATAAAAAATACATACATAACTTTACATAACTCATAAAATTAATTCAGTGGCACAGTAGGACCAGCACACACACACGTTTTGGGAGCACTGACCATGACAAAGCTGTTAACAGTCTGACTATGGCTGCACTCACCTCTGGCTGTCGCAGTGCAGGTACATGGTCCATCCTCTCTGCAGAGCTGTAGTAATCGATCTTATGAGACTGTGAAGAGCAGAAGAGCTTTTCTGCTTTAACCATGTCCTCCACACTGGGATGAAAGAGCTGGAATGGTGTCCTGTCCACAGACCTGAAAGTTTAGTTCCATATAATAAGAAAGAAATCGGCTGAGGGTATAAAAGAGCCTATATTTCATGGCAGTACAAAATCTTGTACCCACTATCTCTACAAAAACTGCAGTACCTGTCCAGGTATCCCTCCAGCTCACTAAAGGGGTACAGTAAGCTTTGGACTTTCTTTGGGGGAAGGTTTGTGGCCTGCTGGAGAGAAGACAGTTTGTGGACGCTGTGCCGGGAAACAACACAAACCTGAGTCCCAGGCTGAAGCCACAGTCCCAACCGGAGACAAAACATGTTTCCCTGCTGAAGTCAGACCCGCCTGCAGCACAGACACAGACAACCAGTGTTACCGTTAGAGTCATACAAGTGCAGTCACATCTAATCAATTTAGCAGCTTCAATTTGAGGTGAGGCTCTGCTGGAAACCCTGCTCAAGTATACACTACACGAACCAAAATTATGGAAACTACCAGAAGATAAATGATTAAACTGACGTGTAAATTAATGTTCCAGTCTACCCACTGACCAGTCTGTTTGCTGTCAACACAAGGGTGAGACAAATGTAAAAGGACAATAGCACAAAGTGAAGAGCCAGTTCATGTTAAATTCCCTCTTTTAACAACACCACACCAGCTTCTAGCTGTTTCATAAAAACATCACACATGTATAAACACAGTATTAGGTCTCTGAACAGATAACGTCAGGGTCACGTAGACACACCGGTATGCTAGCAAAACATTAGCATTACATGCACAATATGTATGTAATGCACGACATGTATTTCGAAACGCTGGTTCATTTCATGACTTACCTCTACTCCAACATTTCCATCACTCAGTCATCAATTATTCTGCGTAGTTTAGCTACAACTGCACTGTGCACTGTCAACTGTTTTCGTCTTCCATGTTGAGTGCAGCGCTGAAATGAGTCCGACTGAAAACACATCATTTTACCGATATTTCCGCTTCAAATGAAAACAGTATCTAACAATCTAGCTATCGATTTTCATATGATTATTATTATATGAGTAGTTGCAATGTTTGTATGTAGAAATATTACTGTAATGTATTTTTAGTGGTTATTCTGTGTCAGACAAGTAGGTTTGCACAATAACTCCAGCTAATGGTGATATAAGGCTATAGATTTAAAGTAAAAGGGACACCAGTGCACCCCTCAAACCCTTATGTATTTTTTTAGACTGCTTTGTTACATCCCACCATTCTGCAGTGCATTCAGACCCCATCATTTTTTTTCACATTTTGTTATGTTGCAGTCTTATGCTAAAGTCTATCATTTTCCCTCATTAATTTACACTCAATATCCCATAACAACAAAGTGAAAACAGAATTTTAAAAATATATAAGAAAAAACTGAAATATCACACTGACATAAGTATTCAGATAGGGCCTACATCATGTTAGTATGCAGTGCACACTTTTGGTCTGAAAGATGCACAACACCAAAAACTGGAAAACTTGAAATAATCAATATATTTAGAGGTCTGTACCCAGAGGGAGAAACTGTTGTTTGGGTTAAAGCCCTGGTCACAGAGGAGCTAAAACTGAAAAAAACACTACCTTGAATTGCAGATTTTAACCATTGACAACAGCAAACCGTTTTGACGTTTTAAAGGGAAGGAGAGCCAGAGAGTCCAAAACAGAGGAAGCCATTGTGGCTTAGATGTGTTGCACTCTCCACAGCCTGTTCTATTATTCTAAAAACTGCTCCACAAAACAACAATGGTTAACACCCCCACGATTTAGGCTTGTTAACAAAAAAAAACCTTGATTGAAACTTTTCAATAAATCCAATAAAAAAAACAAACAATCAATCATATTTCTAAATGTCTCAGCCAGGTCTTGTCTCTGCAACACAGCAACTTAGTCTCAAACACAAGGAGGGAAATGTAACAATTCACCTAATATTCAGGTGAGGTGTCATTATGATTTAAGGATTATGACAAAAACTTGATATTGAAAGATTTTCATTCAACTTTTAAATGACTATTTGACATAATTAGTGTGTGTGTGTGTGTGTGTGTGTGGGTATATTGTTGTTACAACTAACCCAGACTCTTGTAGCCATGTACTAGCTTAATTTACAGCTAACAGCTACAACATTAGCACTGACAACTGTCATGAAAGATATCTACATAGACTCAAAACAAACATGACATAAGTTTGAAGAGTTGAGTTCCAGAGCAGAATAAATTAAGTAAAAACTTTCTTAACTCAAAATATTTTTTTTCCCTCTAAAACAGTCAGTGTCCCTCACAGGGAGCTACTTCCTCGCATGTGGAGTTTCTCCACCTTGACTGGAATCCTCCTGTGGTAAACTCAGCCGATTGGACATGATGTGGACAGACACACACCTGTCTAAGATTGAACTTCTTGGCCTCAATTCTAAGCGTCACGTCCAGAGGAAGCCATTCATGACGTTTAGCATCGGTTGTCCTTGTCATCTGTGAGACTACAATCCACTGATGAGGGAAAAACATAACAGAATGTAAAAAAAGTGAAGGGGTCTGAACACTTTCTGACTGTATCTTCCCTGTAGATATGTCATAATACATAAGGGTTTCCTCGTGACTAAAGTAAAAGACATTGAATTGAGACTCTGGGATATAATTTGTGAGCATGAATCCTTCTTAAGATTCAGTTACATTTGTCAAACTGTTGCATCGCTGGCAACATGTACAGAAACATTCCTGTGTTCCTGCTCCTTGGTTGGAAACGTCTCCTCTCCACAGGGAAAGCTACAGTTGTAGCTGTCACGTACGTCCTCCATCACCCTCTCAGTGGGGATTATTGAAGATTATGATACTAGTGTTTACGTAGAGCGTGCCAACGAAATGTCTTCATAAATTTGGTTATATGAGGTGGCAGTGATAAGAGCGACTCCGAGCTTCTCTCGCCCTCTGCATGCTTCTGACGCCGAGACTCCCACCAGGAAAAGGAGTTTCATCAGTAGTCATGTTGAAGCGGTGGTTGGCTTTCACAGGTTCATGAGCACAGAGTGGTTAGCCTCCTTCTCACTGTTTCCCCCAAAAAGCATTCTCCACATTCCTTCCTATAGAAAGGAGAAACGCTCCAATATTTACCCAGCTTTGATTAATAGTTTTAAAATCTTTTTTTTTTTTCTTTTTTTTTTAATGTAGAACATTTGGCACTCTTTGGGGATCTCATTCTAACCTCACCATTTCAAAATGAATCACTGTAATCTGCAGAGCTCTCCTATGGTTTCCTTGGCTCCTTTACATCACCACATGGTGGCAGTGCAGACTGCTGAAAACGTCACCGCGCTTAGACTAATATGTTAAATATCTGCCTGCACCACCTTGTGCCAATCCTCCCTCTGCTCCATCTGGGTTTTATGACCTGATGTGATTCATAGTATGTTCACTGAACAAATTAATTCACAGATATCCAATTACAGCTCTCATATTCCCCCTGTCCTTCTGCAATGGAGTCTTTTATTCTTGTGTGCCATGTGGTAAAGCAAACGCCTTTTTCATTCATCACCCGTTTAAGGGAATGTAGATTTCATATGAACTGAGTGTCTTATTAAAGCGGGAATTTGAATATGTAATTGAGTCATCTTTTATTACATATGTGTTTAGTGCATCATCAAACGTGATACACTTGTTTGGCAGTTAAATTAATATCTTCATGTGGAATAGGAGTAAAAGGAAGACTAGCTCTGTGTTCCTTGGATTAATTAGCAAATTCAAAGCTGCATTACTTTAACATTTTATTATTTTACAGAGTACTGAGAAGAGTGGGAATCACCACCATGGACAGCTGATGGGCTGCTTAATAGGTGGAGGTTTTCAGCCAACAGCCATTTATATGGCTTTTAGCAACAACAGAGCTGCGGACAAATCCTTTAAACCTCACAAACCCACATTTCAGCACGGTTCTTAAGAGGCGCTTGGGTGGGAAACAAGACAGTGAGGGATATATGGAGGCAGAAGGGATAGATAAATGGTGGAAGGAGCAGAGAGGAGGGGATCGGAGAGACAGACAGGAATGGGGAACAGGGTGGAGGGGAAGAGGTTGAGGGGGGGGTGGCCATGAGTGCTCTCATGACTCCATCACCCCATCCTTCACTGTGAGCCAGAGGATCAAATACCAGACCAATCAATCGTGCACCAAGCAGACATCTATAGTGCGGGCCATGATGGCATTTACCTCCCCAGGGTGCATATCAATAAAAAAAAAAAAGATATCATACAGAATTGATTGTCCCCACACAAACTCCCCATCCACACCATCAAGCCAGCCTCTCGCCATCATCATCATTTGTTCTTTTGCTCTTCATTCGCTCTCCGTCCCTGTCTTCTGTCTCTCTCTCCAATTTTTTTTTTTCAGTTTTCTGCCTCTCTCTGTCTGTCTGTCCGTCTGCTGCAGTTCTTTTCATTGTGCCTGACTGATGTCCAACGGACAGGTTCTCGCAGGGCGTGGAGGCACCGTGCAGCAGTCACTTGTCTTTTTTTTTTTTTTTGACAATGAAGCACGTGGAAAAAGTCCAGCTGCAACGCTGACCAGCCACCCACACATACACGGCGATGATGCTTTAATCCGACACTGAATTATCACAGAGGTTGACCTGACTGACCTTTCTAGATCTACTAAACCATTCATTTGCATGTTAACCACCGAGGCCTAACCCAGGCCTCCACCCTGACCCCCTCGCCCTCTCTCGCTCAGCCTCCAGTACCTCCTGCCAAGATGTGACAGGGCCACAATGGGACGTGCGCTGCCAGAATACCAAAGCCCCCCCCCCTCCCCCACCAATCCTTGCTTTTGTTTGTCCAGGACGATGAAGTACGGAGGAGTCTAACAAGTCGAGAGGTCAAACCATCAATACGCCTCATACAAACACATACGGCTGACACATCCACTCGCCGCAAGGGCAAAAAGACAACTAGAGATTAACACAGGCTGTATCTGCTCTGTATACCCATCTGGCAGGGCTGAGAGCTGTCAGGCCCAACACCTGTGGCAACATCCTCCATCCATCAGTTGCTCAGTGTATAGAGAAGTGGAGAGCTCGGCTTGTGGAAGCAAATGCTATATAATTTATTGGAGCTTGCTCCCTCCAGTGCTTTCACTCTCATTACTCTCTCTGTGTCCGTTAAGTAAACAGAACAATCAGAGGATCGGTTGCCCTCGCTCTTGTAGACAAAGAGAAAAAAAAAAAGGGCCCTGCTCCAGAAAAGGCGATTCACCCTGCTCTAACCTGCACATCAATAATATTCACACTCCTCGCCACACTCGAGACTGAGAAGCCGAGCAAAGCCGGCTGCACTGACTCTGCAATATTTAACAAGAACTGCACAAAGTATAAATCACCAGCTACTGTGATATGAGCCGCACAGTGTTCTACTTAAGATCCTACCAGGCCGACGGCTGTGTCTTTCCTTGTTCTTCCCTGTCTCTCTCTAAGCATCTCCCATGAATACAGCATAAATATTTTGGCAGGTGGTGTTTGGAGGATATTAGAGCACAAGCACCGAGCGCTCAGGGATATCGATTTTGCTTTAGCAGCCAAGAACCATGGCTCTGCTGGCATCAATACATCAAGGAGAGGAGGGTGAATGAGGAGGAATGACCTTGAGCCAGGAAGCAATCTTGACAAATAAAGCCCCGGGAAGGAAATGCAGGGAAACAAAACACTGAAGAAACCAGGGTGCGGAGACTCGAGGGTGACACTGTGAGGTCTACAGAAAGACAATAAGGAGATCACAGATGATTCTGAGTATTTTGGAGTTGAAAGCATTATCCCTTTCCTCCAATTGCAATTGATTTAGGAGGTATTTCATTTAAGGAAGACGCTTATGCAAAGATAAATGTAAATGTTTCTGTACATCTATGCAGATAAGGTGGCAGAGGATCCTGACACAATGAAATAAT